ACCTGATGTAAAGTGGTAACCGTCGCCTATAGACATGAGCAGTACCATGGACATAACAGAGTATACTCTTTTGCCCATGATACCCTTCAAGCGTTGCCATTCCTGAGGACTCAGGTGTTATTCCTCTGTACCCAGTAAATTCACGCCATATCCCACCCTTCAAACCGAAACACAGCCATGTAAACACAACTGCTTCACGGTTGAAACACGAATGGGACAGAGGTACCCAAGCAATCGACTTTTGTACAAAGTCTCCCTTGAGTTTCCCATCAGGACAGCGCGCCCGCAACACTAATTACATACTATACATTTTTTTATGCAACTTACATAGAATGCAACAAGCTGACGGCTCACCTGATAGAAAGTGGATACCGTCGCCTATAGACATGGGCAGTACCATGGACATAACAGAGTATACTGTTTTGCTCATGATACTCCCCATGCGTTGCCATTTATTATTTATATTATTAACACAATAATACAACTTATAAAATAATAATTTAGATGTATTAAATTTATCTTTAATGGATTGAACACGTTTTTGTTTTTGGAATAAGCAGTTATTATTATGAAAACGTATATAAATAGCTATATACCTACGTTTTCATAATAAATAAAGAGTATAGATAGAAAAAAAAATACTAAAGAGATTTATCGAGCAAGAATGAATAGAGATGTCAATAGGTACCGCCCTAGATATGTCGACCAAATAGACGACGTGTTGAAGAAAGGCCAAATTAAAAGTAGCGTGTATAAAAAGATTGATGAATGTGGAGGAAGCGAAAGAGGTTTGTTTGAATCGAAGCATTTGGCGTTCCATTGTTTCTGCCTACCCTAATGGGAGACAGGCGTGACAGATAGGTATGTATGTATAGATAAATAGGTAAGTTTTCATTTCTATTTCCACCAAGGCCAATTAAAGTTGTTATTGCTGTATGTAACCATATGTATTAATACGTTTTTACGTTAATATGTATTTTTTTCTTATTATTTAATTTGAAAAATAAACTCTACGGTATCTTTATGATCCTGTTTATATCCGACAAATAATAAAGTAAAAACTTGAACGATTAATGGCTCGATGTAAGCACGAACTGACGAGAGTGAACCATTTTTGTTTTTTTTTTTCCTTTATTATTTGAATAATATGTAATTTTAATGTAAACAGGCAAACAAGATAATAAGGTACGTCATAAATGCAGGGTGATATTGCCTACTCTGTGGGCTTTGTTATATTTTTTTTTAATTGTAAGATATATTTGGCAACGAAACATATATTTTGTGTTGATTGTTATTGTGTAGTTTTACAGCCATAAACAATGTTATTATTTTTTTTAATTAATATTTTAGAGCCTGTTAGCTTAAAAAAATTTTGGAGGTTTAAAAAAGAAGCAGCTGTAAAACCCATTTTATGGGTAATTCATTTGCATATCGTGCTATACAGCTGTGGAATAAACTTCCCGTAGGTATTCAGAATAGCCCGTCTAGCAGTTCCTCCAAAAAAAGATTAAAATCATTTTATCTTTCCAATTTTGTTTAAATATAATTGATCATCATGATTGACATCACTGCTCTTTGCTGAGTAAAATATTATTTTCAACCGACATTAAAAAAAGAGAAGGTTCTTAATTCGACGGTATATATGTATTTTTATGTTTGTTACCTGACAACTCCGTCAGTTGCAAACCGATTTGGATATCTTTTTTTATATGAAAAGATATACTTACAGATTCCCATAGAAATTAACAATCAAAATAATGTTAGCAGTTTAGTTTTGAATCTAAATAATCTTTGGTAAATCAAATAGTGAATTGATTTTGCAATCATTAAGGTAATTTTCTTTTTGTGGAATACAGTCTAATTAGAATTAAATATGAACTCTATTCTCTCTCTCTCTCTCTATCTCTATCTCTCTCTCTATACTACAATAATTATTGTTCATAAGAGTAACTATCGCGATGGCTGTCGCTTTCATATACAAGTTGTCAGTACGCACGTAGCCATACACGGCAGTATAAAAATACTCGTATTGTCCCAATTCGGGCGAGCTTTCATTTGTTAACCTACTTTACGTCAGAGAACTAATTTCGTAGAGTAGGTGCAGGTACCTACTAATTTACTGACCACGACACGATGCGAACTAAAAATTTAATTACTAAAGTAGTTACTAAGTTAGTTTTATATGTTTGGAATAAATAGTCATAATTTTTTTGTGTATTTATTAAATTATTAAAGATTAAATGCCATAAAGGTTGTCTGTAAGAGATTGCCCTAGTGATAAGACCACCTATTGTACCTTTATGTGTATATTTCAATCTGTATTTATGTTACTGTATTTCACTTGAATTATGCACTTGTCATTGTATATTTTTATTTATGGTGCAATAAAGAATTAAATAAATAAATAAAATGTATTTTATGTATGTTAACGATCTTGATTTATTTTTTTATCGACACAGGCATTGACATCGTTGATGTGCAGCGTGTTGATAGGTGAAAATGGTATGGTAACCCCGCCTGCGCTAACGGGATACGCTGGCGGAGCACCAGTTAAGGGTGATCGAAGAGAATGAAAATAAGCCAGTTAGCCCATCATGATGAATTCATCAGGAATTAACCATGATAGTTTCCAGGGAGAACCGCAAGGAGGTCGACCTGGTTGGGTGTATTGCTGTCAATGGGATTCTCAGTCTCCATTAGTAACAATCCCTTTCCCCTCTATTCTTTTGTTTACGTTTTCATTGAATTGTATTGAAACAAATTATACCAACATACGTGTATACCTTTAACTAACATTTTATATAGCAGGTAATAAATAAATGATGTGTCTGGCCCGTCTAGGCTTATGCAATTTAGGCAGCTAAAGGTAAACGTGTCAAGGCGAGGTCACGCCGGCAGCGGGCGGCTGGCCACGCCGCACCGGCATAGGTACAGGCATCTAGCGAACACGCAGAAAGCACCCCGCTATCAAATGCGTAAATACTTGTATATCTATAATTTATATAGACAAAGAAATGTGTATTTTTGTATGCATTTATGTATATATGTTTATAATTACTCCTCTCCATCCAAAGGTTGCCTGGAAGAGATCGCTCTTAGCGATAAGGTCGCCCATTGTTTTCTCATTGTGATTATTTCTTGTAATTGTTTGTATCTATAATAAGTTTACTATTGTAATCTTATGGAGGGAGCAATAAATAGTATCTATCTATTTATCTACATAATTTTTTTTTAACATAATATAGTAAAGAAATATTTAATACAGAAATGTATGATGAATAATTTTATGTACTTAATTATAAAAACAGAATTTTTTTCTTCAAATATTATAGATACGTATACTGGTTATTACTCGCGATTTCGTCCACGTGACCAGGCAATGTTTACTGACGGGGATAAAAAGTTCTTCACTAATCCATAGGGAATTACATAGGGATCGGTCAAGCCGTTGAATCGTTAAGAAGGTACAAACAAACAAGGAAATAAACAAATTGAATTTCACATTAATAATATAAGATCTAATTTTAAAATAATAATAAAAATTCTTTATTACACCACAAAGAAAAATTTACAGTGGTAATTAGATAATTCAAGTGAAATACAGTTTTTTTTTGATGGGTGAAAATGGTATGGTAACCCCGCCTGCGTTAACGGGATACGCTGGCGGAGCACCAGTGAAGGGTGATCGATGAGAATGAAAACAGGCCAGTTAGCGCATCATGATGAATTCATCAGGAATGAACCATAATAGTTTCCAGGGGGAACCGCGAGGAGGTCGACCTGGTTGGGTATATTGCTAGCAATGGGATTCTCCGTCTCCATTACTAACAATCCCTTTCCCCCCAGTGAGATACAGTTGTATAAAATACAATTTACAATTTTTACAATTTATATTGAACGAGAAAAAAGTTTACATTATTGTCAGTCCCCAAACTAAGCCAGCCCTGTACCTTGGGGACTAAATCTAATGTAGTCTATAATTTCCTATAGTTTGGGACCACTCTATGACTTGATGATTTATTACTAACGCTCATAGTCTACAATCAACAATTAAATGGACGATTACAACAAGTAATTACTTTTTATTAATATCCAATACCAGAACACATCACGGGTACTTATAACAGAATTATAAAAACTAACAATACATATATTTTTTTTAAATGGACAACATTGTAATTTACAAGCGCAATAAAGAATATATATATAATGGAATGGTAGCCCCACCCGCGCTATCGGTATACACCGGCGGGGCACCAGTGAAGGATGATAGGTGAGGATGAAACAGGTCAGTTAGCCCATCGTGACGAATTCAACAAGAATTGTTCACGTTGGTTTCCAGGGGGAGCCACGTGGAGGTCGACCTAATAAGGTATATTGCTAGCTATGGGGCTGTCAAACTGCATTGCTAACAATCCTTTTCCCCCCAACAATACATATTTATAATAGATATTTACCGATAAATATTGTATTTATGTAAAATACTTTTGAGTTTTTTTTTTTGCAAAAAGTTTTGAAAGCTCAAGAGTAAAGTAAAAGTAAAGTAATTTTAAATATTATTTATTATGCCCTAATAAAAATAAGGACGGTTGAGAACAGTTTTAGATTAAACATAACAAGTGTATAGTCGCCAGAAACTTGTGAAATTCAAGAATCAACAATAGAACAAACTAAAACGAAACTCTTAAGTGTTTTATAATATGAAGGTGATTAAATTGTGTATCTAATTTCAAATGTGATGTTTTATTAAGTACGTTCCTATCTACTTATGTCGAATTTTGAATATACTTTCATGTTGCGATAAAAGTGTGGATTAAAAAATTAATCCGACCTATGACATAGTTTAACAGTACCTATTACTAATGATTCATTAGATAGAATTGTGTTTTAGATATTCAAATGTACATCCGCTACATCCTAAATATAATCGGCAATTGAATGTGTCCATTGTCAAAATAAATGATGTTCGTGCCAAATAATGAGAAGACCTCAAGGCCTACCTTTTCCGTTGAGCTGAGTTCTAAGCCTGGAGAGCTCCCGGGACCGGCTCCTGCTTCTCCTGTGAGCGGCGATCCTCCGCGGCGAGCGCGCCATGTCGCTCACACACAATTCCCACACAGGAAACTCACAAACACCGTCACATCGCTGTAAGCAACGCTAAAATGCACCGATTTCTTGCGAATACGTAGAACACCGGCCCAGTTATTTACAGACGCCGATTTTCTGACACTGTTTGTAAACAACGCGCCGCGGGACAATAACCTACTACCTTTTAAGTGGCCACTACTGTCCACGTGGGAGAGTATGCAAACGTAAGGGGACAGCTAAAGACTGTCGGAATGTTATCGTAATTGTAAAGTGAATGGTCGTGTTTCGTTTCGCGGAGTTAAGGCACGAGCGTCGTGTGGAAGGCACTGCGAGGCACTGACTGAGTCAACCCAGTTGGTTTGGTATCGTGGCTGATGGTGCGGCGGGCGCTGTTCGCGTGCCGCGGCGGTGCGGGCGCGGCGCCGCAAGCTTGGCCACACCTGCTGCCATTACATCACTGATAGCTTGATATGTGATAACAGCCGTGAAAGCCTACCGTCCAGTCGCTGCACTAGACAGACAAACTTTCCCCACTACTGTCGCTGGCATAAATGTTGCTCAATCTTGATTCGGTGTCGTGCATGCAGCTAGTTGTTCGTTATCTCGTAGATAGAGCATGCTATTGTCACGGGCATTGTTACCGTGGATTACTGGTGTCGACACGGCAGCGATTATATCTTTGTAAGCGTTGCTGTAGATAGTAATGTTGTATGTATTATGAAGGTAAAACAAATCAGATTTTGCTCATAAATAATGCAAAGGTGAAGAGAGACGGTAATTTCGTAATTAGTAAAATTTATCTTCCATTTGCTTATATTATTGTTTATCCTCTATCTAGTTAGTTTTAATCAATTTAAATATTCTCACTGACATCTCTTTTTTCACATTCGTCATTAGAATGTAAGCGTAAACAATAAATCATATGTAGTGATGACATTATGAAAACAAAGGAAACGCAAGTTAAAATCTATATACGTAATAGGTACCTGTTTTGCGCATTCTCCCCTACAATATACACATAGAGCAATTTATACAACAAGTCTATATCTGTACTTCTATGTCTATAGCGCCTAGATATAAGCAGGTCTATAATGAAATCGGAAGAGTCGTATGTGCGCTAAAACTTTTGTTGTTTAGCTAATTAAAGAATGAAAACAAAAATAAGTAATTTTTCCAATTGCTATTATTTATGTTATCAAGAAAAAAGACTTGATTGTTTTCAATGAAATTTTACATTTCAGTATAGTTCTTAACAGTTGGTACATGGATGTAAGTATTTATGCATCAGAATCGACCGAGCGATACTTTAGATACATGCCTTGACCTTTCCTCTGTAAAATTGTTAAAGTGTAATTTGTAAAAGTGTATCTTATACCTACTTATGAAGTTGTGCAAGAAAAGTCTTTAGTCATATTGGATATAAAAAATTTTAAGAATTTATTTTGCTGAAGTTGACACAGTTGATTCACGTGTATTGGCCTACGGCTGGTGGATAATAAAAATAAACGAAGTCTCACTTTAATTAAGACGTTCTGTAATTCATCCAGGCTGACGTAACCGTACCTAAGTGTCTATGGAATTTTTTAACATACATACATTTCTGTGTTTCTGACATCATTTTCATGGAGTGTGCTTTAAAATGAATGGCAATTTACATGTAGGCAAATTAGCTACGTTTAGCTGGTATAAGATGAACGATTAAATTGGAACAATGAACACGCTGTGCTAATTACCGAATTATCGATGTTTCCTTTTCTTTGTTCGTTTTATAATATCGTAGGTAGCAATACGTATCTACAAAATGTTTGTAACCTGTAACATAAAAATAATTCTATTGGGATAGTTGGATAAACTTGTTCACTATTATCGTTAACTTGTGGTCGATGAATTAACCCAGTGATGGCGGTAGGCCTCGTCTTTTGCCATGTTTTCTAATATGTTCGGCCAAATTTGGCCATGATCTTTTACCTGTCTCTATATTTTCCATATAGAAAGTGTATATCAAATATGTACCAGAACTGATATGCCATCCACAAATTGAATATACCTACATTGTTCTTAAGAATAGATAAACTCTTGCAAGAAAGGAAAACGAAGTATTTTCCAAGGATCATGTCTAAATCCTGTCCTCCTAATATTATTAATGTAATGTTTTGCAAAGACATGATTTATTTGTTCAGTCTCCAGTTATTTACGAGTAAATAGCTACAGGTACATGTAGTAGTATGAAAACAGTTTCCAATCTTTCTTAAATCAATGAAACCCAAAACTCTGCGGGCTAATCCCAAAACATTCCAAATCGATTTTTAATACTTTAAATTGGAAGGCTTGGAAAGGGATTGTTAGCAGTGGGTCTAACAGATTAATTGCCAGCAATACACCCTATCAGGTCAACCTCCACGCGGTTCCCCCTGGAAACCATCGTGGTTAATTCTGGCGGAATTCGTCAAGATGGGCTAACTGATCTGCTTTCATTGTCACCTATCATTCCCCACTGGTGCTCCGCCAGCGTATACCGATAGCGCAGGCAGGGTTACCATTCCATTATCACCCATTGAAAAAAAAGAACATGGGAGGTACGAATCGGGTACGCTAAGCGACACATCTATGTAAATACTCATTTTCTAATTACGTAGGCACGTGCCGTCAGTAACTTTGAGTACGGAAAAAACCTTGGGATTTAATATTCGAGTGGATATTAATTGCCACATCTAATTACTATTTTAATGAACATTGTAGGATGTTCTGTATAATTGCATGTTGGGATATTCGCTGATTTTAAACCAATTTGATAATCCTTATTATTCGAAATGGGAATTTGGTTTCAAGTGGATTTCTTCTTTTCACAATTTTTCAAACTATTTTGTATAGAAACTGTATATTATAGGTACCTACCATATACCTATAGTATAATGTATTTAACCCTTATTTGTATGATTTTTTTATTGGTGAAATAAATCAAAGTGATAGAATTCACTTTCAAAATTAAAGGAAACATGGGTAAAAAAATAAATTTTACAGCTATGTTTTTTTCTGCAAATAACATTAAAAAGGTATTCAGACACGATCAACTTAAAGTGAATTCGTTCTTTTATATATTTTTTGGGAATTCAGTGTTACGATGGAAATTTCCACCATTATGCAAAGAAGGGTTAATTACATTATAAGTTGGTAGGATAGCTGTAAGAAATATACCGACTACCAGATATGAATTTTTAGGAAGCATAGTTTTTTGTTCTGTAGTCTTGGCATAGAATAGGTCACCTCTGCCTTTCCCGCGGGAGTCGTGAGGGCACTTAATGCTCGAAGGATGGGCAGCAGCGTCTGTCTTTAAACAACACTAAAAGCTTAACTGCGATTGCCAATTCACCTGCCAAGCGTGGCAACTACTGACAAAACTATCCTAATAGGAAAAGGCTTATGTTCAGCACTGGACAGTTAATAGCTAATGTAATGATGGTGTCATTTTTAGATGAGTTCATGAACTTGTGTTTTTTTTTAATGGATGATAATGGAATGGTTAACCCACCCGCGCTATCGGTATACACCGGCGAGGCACCAGTGAAGGATGATAGGTGATGATAAAATGGGTCAGTTAGCCCGTTGTGACGAATTCAACAAGAATTGTTCACTATGGTCTCCAGAGGGAACCACGTGGAGGTCGACCTAATAAGGCATATTGTTAGCAATGGGGCTGTCAAACACCATTGCCAACAATCCCTTACCCCTTTAACTTGTGTTATTTTAACATTTTACTCCATTTACATTGTTGTAAAATCATTATTATAGGTACCATGGAAAATCACAAATACTTAGTAGGTGCAGGCATTATTCAGTCCGATTGCTGTCGTATAACTTACGTATCTATTGACGTCTGTCTGTCGGTGACTGCACCAGATTGTTCCACTGACGCTGTCTGTCATCTTTTAATGAATAACAGTAAACAATCGTAGTCATTATTGTGAAATCTATGATGTCTTATTATTCATTAGTATTATAAGCAGTGTATTTGTTTGTTTCTAAAAAAATATTGCATGTAATATTAACGAAAATTTTGATACTGACAGTCGCGAAAGTTTCAAAAGGGCATCTTCTGTCCTCATAAGCTTATTATGTTTGTGTATGCATATGTACGTACTGCTGGAGATAAGCCTTCCTTATTAGGGAATTTTTGTAAGTAGTCGCCACGCTTGGCAGGCGAGTTAGCAACCGCAGTTAGTCTTTTACATATGTTTTAAGAGGGACGTTGCTGCCCATCCCTTAGTCGCCTCTTACAAAACCCACGGGAAAGGAAGGGATGGCCTATTCTATGCCGGGACCACACGGCGTAGTATTTTCTATACAAATATGTATTTTGAATATATAAGTTAGTTCGTATTTAGATAAGCATATTTATAATTTCTTAATAGAAACAACTATACTGCTTCCTCCTATTATTGTACGCACACTGCCCGCTGGTAATTAATGCTCATTTCCACTGAGGGTTTGCTGGAAGAGAACTCTTACAGAGTTAAGCTCGCCTGTTGTACATTTTTATTCAAAATAAATTATAACAATGTAATTTTTGTGTACGATACAGTATAAATAAATAATTTTCATTTACGTCTATCTACAGTTCCTTTATTCAGTGATAGGTAGGTAAATATAGGAGATAAAAGTACAATGAGTAAGGCTTTCACTATCTATCTCATAGGCAACGATGCCTATACAAAATAAACAAAGCGCATACCTTGTTACTTAGAATGGCAAATAAGGTGACGCTACATCTGATAGAAAATAGTCACTGTCGCGTATAGACATGAACAGTACCACGCAAGTCACAGAACGCACTGCGAAGCCTATGGTATCTCTCATGCTCTAGCATTCGTGAGGACGACGGTTTTATATCTCGGTATCCTGCAATTTCACTGCCATATTTCATAACGGAAACACAGATCTGCAATTTTAACTACCGGGGAGAAGGGATCGTTAGTAATGTGAACTACCAGTCACATAATTAGCAATATATCCTATCAAGTCGACCTACAAATGGCCCCCTCTGGTAACCATCGAACTGAAATTTTGGTGTAGTTATCACGATGAGCTAATTGACCTATCTGTTTGGGGAAGAAATGTTAGTAAAGGGGACTAATGGCCATCGCTAGCAAGCCCTGTCAGGTCGATCTCTACGCGGTTCCCCCTGGAAACCATTGTGACTAATACTTGTTGCATTCATCAAGAAGGGCTAACAGACCTGCTTTCATGCTCACCTATCATTCATTACTGGTGCCCCGCCAGCGTATACCGTTAGCGCAGGCGGGGATACCATTCCATTTTCATCCATTAAAAAAAACTGACCTATTTTTTCATTCACACCTATTACCCCTCACTGGTGCCCCACCACCGTATATCGTTGGCGTAGGCGGGGTTACCTTTCCATTATTATACATTAAAATACAACTGCTTCACGACAGTAACACGAGCGGGATAGAGGTACTCGAGTGGGATAGAGGTACTCGAGTGGGATAGAGGTACTCGAGTGGGATAGAGGTACTCGAGTGGGATAGAGGTACTCGAGTGGGATAGAGGTACTCGAGTGGGATAGAGGTACTCGAGTGGGATAGAGGTACTCGAGTGGGATAGAGGTACTCGAGCAGATGACTTGTAGAAAGTCTCCCTCTAGTAAATAATTTGGGTAATGAAATAAAACAATGAATAAAGAACGAGAACAAATTATATAATTTATTTCTGTTACATTCACATCTTCACTTACAACATTAATACGCCCACGAGACGCCGCACACTCGTCGACTACATTAAGTAGATATTGTGACAAATAATTAAATAGTGGAGTGTTATATTTAATTTTGCAATATACTATTAACTATTTTTAAAAATTTTCTAATAGGATTGTTAATGTTGGACAAGCCTACTGTCTTAACACTTAAATACCTGAAGTTTCAAATTTGATACAGCGGTTTGCATTGTTTCATTGTTAAATAAATTAAAATATTTTGATTACCGTTATGCTTAAAGTATCAAAAATGATACGAAATGTTTTTTTTTTTCGAAATAAATATATAAAAATATCGTTTTGATTTTTTTTTACTATTTTTCCCCATTAGTAAACACAGTAAAGGGTGCACTTATATATTTTTTAATTTGATTTAAAAAATCAGGCTTTTAAAGGTTAAATTGATAGCATAAAAATTTACATACTCTTTTTCATTCCTCCTTTTGGACTGTGAAACTTATATGAAATCTGATGTACCTACCTACACATTATATACGAGATTGTTCAATTTTTATTTCATACCATAACATAAACTAATACCTTTTTCACTGTAGATAATGCATACATAATAGAACAATACAGTCGATTCTGACACGCCATTTTCTAACTCTAAAAATCTAAAAATTTCAATTTGTAATAACAAATTACTATAGTGAAGTTATTATTCTAAGGAGCAGTATTAATTAAATTTGTAATAGATTTCAAATTTGCTTTTTTGTTTCTGGTAATCTATATTCTTACCAATAAAACTTATTTAAAAAAGAAACATCGATTTGGGTCTTCATAAGATCAATAGAAACCAAGACAATGTTTTTTAGAAATTTTGCCTGTATGTTCCGGAATGCCGGAGAAATTAAAAATAGTGGATTTCAGAAAAGTTCATTTTCTAAATTGGTTTGATCGGGAATCGAATCCGGGCCCTTATTTACGTCAAGCAATGTGCTCATCATCACTGCGTCAATGAGGTCGAAATCGGAGATTACTTTAAGATTAAAATTTTAATTCTAGAGATAGATTGAAAAATTTAAAAGGCATTTAAGAATCGACTCTATTATTTTGGATTTCAATAGTTTTTGAAAAATAACATTTTACAATCACGCTTTTATCTACACAAATGCAACCACGAACAATTGACAGTCGCGTTGGTCCCCAAAGTTGTTTTAATTAATGATAAGTGTCGAATGTCAGGACTAAGGGGCTATTTGGATGTCATAGTGGCTGTGATTGAAGTCACATGAGAAAAGATATATAGACATATATATAGACATCTTTAAAAAATGAATGTGTTTTAAATATAGGGTTATATTTAACTGACATTGCAACATTAAGTTAGCAAGAGACATTTATTCTATTTTCAAGAAAGTCCTATTGACAAATTAACTATGTACACAGATAAAAAATTTGTAGTAGTAAAATGAGTAGGTGTAAAAATAATTTATTTATTAAATTAGTTATTAATTTTATATTTGAAGTCTCGTACCATGATGGAGGGATGAACGATACACAGTTTTGTATGAGTAGCGTATCAGAAGTTTGTAGATACGATGGTTTATGAACGATTTCTTAAATAATTCTTATAACGTTTTAGTCCAAGTATGTAAAATATAAAAAAAAAAAACAATAATAGCCGACCATTTTAAAAATATAGCTTAATATCCTAAAACAACTTAAAATTGTACTAACAAAAATAACATTGTGAATAAATTAGTAATAACATTATTTCGATTTGTTTATAAAACTTCATAGTAAATGATTTATTTTATATTATATCTAGAATGTATATAAACAATTAATTAATGCAGCTGCCATCGATGTACTTGAAAGATTGCAGAGAACAAACATATACTTAGCCTTTCTTATATATTCATAAATAATATATGAAATATTTCGAGATGTAGACGGTGTCATAGTAAACTTGTCTCGCCATTTAGCCCTTCTTTGCATGATTTTTTTTTACTGGTGAAACAAACCATGGTGATATAATTCATGTTCAAAATTAAAGGAAAAATGGTTAAAAAAAATAAATTTGACAGGTATGTTTTTTTTCCTGCGATGGACATTAAAAAGGTATCCAGACACGATCAACTTAAAGTGAACCGGTTCTTTTATATAATTTTTGGGCATTCAATGTCATGATGGAAATTTTCACCATTATGCAAAGAAGGGTTATGTGGTATAACCAACTAAACTAATCTAGGTTAATTATGACGAATACGAAACTTTATATATATAAAAAAAAAAATATACAATTGATTGCTGTTATAAAGTTAATAATTTCTACAAACAAACGACAATACATTTTCTAATTTGGAAAGACTAGACTTTATTTCGTGTTTGACTTATTGTTAAAGATTTAGATACTGCCATAATAAATTTAAAAAAAAGATTAATAATTAATATAAACAATTCCAGACAATATATCATATTGAAGACTAGGCAGCATGGTCTCCGACCTTAGCCTGTTCCACAATGGAACATACGTACTAAAAAAAAAATGTATTATAGACAGTTAAAAGAAAACAATTCCATCACAACATAATTATAAGACAATACGTATTAATTCAGTTTGTTTTTCTAATTGTAACTCATAACAATGAGCTATAATGACCATTTATTTATGTATTGTGTTTAAAAAAAAAATGATGCAGACTCCAATACGTTTGTAATACTCACATTATAGATTGTCCTGTAAGATACAAACTTTGGTGAGGTTTCCACTTGGTTTTTAAATTATTTATTTTTGTTAGTAATGTATACGACAACATAACCTTAAAAAAAGAGCATATTCCTTTTTGAAAAGTCGGCAGCACACCTGCGATGCCGTTGGTGTTATGGGTGATCATGGGCGGCGGTAGTCACTTACCATCAGGTGAGCCGCATGCTCTTTTGCCCCGTGTTGTAAAAAAAAATACGTATGTTTTGACGAAGTTCTCCTAGTGGTCAAGTTAGCTCATTTTTTTTTAGATTAAAATATAATTACACCTAAGTACTGTAAATCAAATCGTCAACAGTCAATTCTCTTGTAAACTATAACAGATCGACACGCACCGAGCTGAAGATAAAAGCTTACAACTATAATAAATAACGAGTAATTACAATTTTTACAACCTATCGAAGCAAGAGGCCGCGTCTCGTGCACGCTGAAATAACCTTAGTCGAGTTAACAGTTAACAATAATAAACTGTTACGAGGTATAATGTGATAAATATTAGTTACAAGTCGTTTAAAAATACTAGCAGTCGACCTTTGTAAAGACTCTGAAAATTTTTAGTTTCACCAAGTTATATATCACAATTATTTTAGTAAATATTATATATTCATTTTTCATTCGAGTAAATTTGTAGATCTCTGGCGTAATGGCGGCAATGTTGGATATACAGGTGTAGAGGGCAATTATTATGTTTATTAGGTGAAGGTATAGTTGTGAATTTCAAGACAATACCAATTTTGCCATTGACTAGCTATGAAGACGCAAAATGGTTTTTCTTCGTGCCAATAAATTAAATCAGTGCTCTATTACCTCAAACAGATCTAAAGTGCTCAAATTTTAGATAAAATTCCAATTTATGAATATACTTTAATTAAATCTAAAATTTAGGATATTTGTATAGATATAACTCTAGTAGTGGAGTTTAGTGGATACATTACAGAATAGGCGTAAATAATTTTAACAGAGAACAAACGGTAACGGTTAATAAATTATTCTAGTAACGAAACGATGTAAACAAGTATATAATTAGTAATCGATTGTTTGTACCTACACACAAAGCGACATCACAGTACAGCGTCGTATATTTATGTACTAAGGTGGAATATTCACTGCCACGCAGCACGCACCACGCACCACGCGCGTTAAAACGCGGCGCGTGAACTATCACGTGTCTCTATATGCACATGTGACAAAATACAGTGGTACCTCTACATATGAGTTTAATTCGTTCCGTAACCTTGCTCGTATGTCAAATTGCTCGCATCTCGAAGCAATTTTCCCCATTGAAATGAATTAAAATGCCATTAATCCGTACTCCCAAAAAACCACCTCAGTTGTTTTTGTTAAGTGTTAGTCGGAGGTGGGAGAAACTGTTGGACATCAACGTCCACCCCGCGTGTGCAGCGGTGTAGTGTACGATTCTTCGTATCTCAATCTCTCTCATCTCAAAGCAAAATATCGCTCGCTCGGCGGCTTGTATCTCAAAACACTTGTATATCGAGGTACCACCGTATTGACATAGTTTACATAACAACTTAGAGGTGTTCACAAGAGAGTTTAGCACTTGTTTCTACTATAAATGTGCGCGCGTAAGGTTTAACACCATACTTCGGCGCTTGATACGTGACGTGTGGTGTCGTCACGCGCGTGATCGCTATATGCTTTTTGTATTTGAAAATTACGAGATAGTCTGTAAACACAGCGTGTACAATCATCTACTGCAATAAGGCGTTAATAAATTTTAAAACCACTCATACGATGAAATTTAACCGTACAGTTACACGTCACGTTGCAGCGTTGTGTTGCGTGGCAGTTTTCCGCCTAAATAAGAACGTATGTTTGCTTCGCAACCGGTCACCGGTCACTGGCAAATCTTTGCATACATACATATACACGTAGTAACTATATACATTGTATCATTGCAAAATATATGAAAATAGGCCACGTACATGTATTTCACATCAATAATATTGTTAGCCTAAGATTTTTAAATTATTCATAAAGCACTTTATGTCGGGTTTGTGGCATCGCGTAATGATTTCTCTAACAAAATATGTTATTCCAAGTTTAAAAAAGGTGAACCGGTAAAGAACACAGTTCAAATATGCACAAACATGACTTTGTCTCAACAGCTACCATCAGTAAAATACCCATAGGTAAATTATTAATACGTACCTGAACACCCATCAAATCGTACAATACAATGCGTGTAAGGATAGCTTTCCCTGTGTCCGACTATCAATATATTCGACCATGTTCCCACGACAATAAAGTCACAGTATTATCTAAAAATACTTTAAACATACATACTACTGTAAATATAAAAGTAGATATATAGACACTATACGTCCTCCGATACATGTGTGTGTGTGTGATGAGAGAAATAAGTTGAAATATGAAAAATAAAGGTTACGTAGAGAGGCTGTACTCGCGGAGCGAGTGCGAGTCACCGTTTTGGTGTTACGTATGTTACACAATGTAAGAGAACATTTTGTACGCGTATAATGTGTGTGTGTGGCCCCCGGGCTCAGCAGATGGTGAAGAGCGGCGAGCGGCGCCGCGCGGCGTCAGCTCAGGAGGCGGCCGCGCTCGGCCTGCCGCCGCGCCCGCTGTCGTACGCGCGGACCACCTCCGCCTGCGACACCGAGCCGCCCTCCTCTTGCGAGAACGCGAACCCATCTGCGGCACCCAACATACCGTTACAGAGGACGCCCTGGGCCGAGCCACGCGCGTGTCTTGTTCGGTAGAATCGACAAAACAAACAGCTCAATAGGCCGTGAAACGCTAGTAGTGCTTCGCAAACGAACAAGTGGCAACTGAGTAAGGTGGTTCGAATAGTGTACTGATAATTGATACCTTGTTTCCATTGCATCAGCTAGGCCATCGAGATGAAATTAAAATAAAATGTGTGACTACGTGGTGCGCGCGGCGTGTGTGCGCGTGTGCGCGTGTGAGTGCGTGTGTGTGCGTGTGGAGGAGGTACTCACGCGACAGCTCAAGCTCCATGGTGGCGCGCGTGGCGGAGCGCCGGCTGAACACGCTGCGAACGTTCTGCAGCAGCCGCGCCGTCTCCGTGAGGCTGCCACACACAGTCACGCCACTCACTACCCAGCTACATATTGCGTCTATCGCCTACATCGAGGTGGGAGCCTCGTTTCGCGTCGCTCCCAACTCTAATTTCGTTTGATAAGACGACTCGAGTGGTTCAGTGTTAAAACCCAGTCCTCAAAGGTTGATAGGTATTAGTAAAATAAGCGTGTTCTGTGGCCTGACCCAATTCGAGATACTGTCGAAACGTAGATTCGATAATTTTAATAGATTTTTTTTAATTTTGGTAAACCCAACGCGTATTTAGACCGTTTTAGTGTCATGTGAATACCTCATGCATGCATGTTTAACCTATGTTTATATGCATCTTTTCTCTGTATATAGACGTTAAATAAGATGCGAGTTGCGCACTACTTCTGCAAACATGAGTAAAACCACATGAAATTAAAACGGCCACCTTTAATTATATAACTAGTAAACTTTTGAATATCGAGCAGAGTTACTGTGGCAGTATATCGGTTCGGGGGCATAGAGCAAGTAGCGGGGATGCAGTGCAGGAATATGAGCGAGCTAGAAGCGTGAGGCGTGAGGCGTGAGGCGTGAGGCGTCATGCGAGCGCACGAGCGCACGGGCGTACTTACACTGCGCGAGCCGCACGAGCGCGTGGCGCGCGTCGCTCCCCTCGCGGCCGCTGTGCCAACAACCACCGTTAGTTCCACCACACCACACCACACCACATTACACCACGCCGTGCCACCACACACGTGGCTCAACACTCGACCACCACATCGCAATCTCTTCATTTATTATATACGACATATTTTAAATAAAAACCGGACTGACTTACGTTGATATTTTTATCGAGGGTCATATTGCATACTTAATTTTTGTTTACTGTACAACGTTGTTCAATTCTATTCATACTACCGTTGTATTTCAATTTGTTGGTATAATTTCTATACACTCTCCTCTCCCCCGTCCCTGGCAAGGTACAAACGGATCTATAGATAGAATCGCTTCTGTCAGCGTTCCCATGAGAAAGAAAAGACAGCGCACGTCGCCTTAAGTCGTAATCTATGTCATGGATTCGCTAGCGATAACGATTCTATCAATAGATTTGCTCGTACTTTGCCTAGGAAGGGGGGGATGTATACTTTTGTAATTTTATCCCGTTTTTATTTAAATTAAAATACTAATAACGTGTGGAAGGACATCCCGTTGTTTTGGTTTCTTGGTATTCGCTAAATTAATTCAATGACCCTGGACAGTGGATACTAAAAAAATATGGAACATTGCAACATGATTCCTCGTCATAGATTGAGAAATTATTGCATTTGGTAATAAATATAGTTCCTCTATTTTCCTCGTTATTGATATGGATCTTCCAATACCATTTTTTATACCTAATTTGAATTTGCTTTCAACAGAAATTAAAAAAAAAATCTTTAATTTACCAACACACATGGCAAAGGGATGTTCTAACACTGAGCAGTAACTAGCATCACTCCGGTCCTTACAACTACAGTACACAACTCCAGGGCAATTTCAATTATTTATTCGAGAAATATTGATCGTTACAAATGTATTAAATAAAACTTACCTACGTTTATACCATATAAAATAATATTAACATATTCCATGGATGGATGCGAGATGATTAATAAATACATGAACCATGAACGAAAGCAGCACACGATTCAAATTATACCATACAACAAATTTGAATAAAAAAGGCCTTCACTGGACACTGGACAGTGCAAACTAAACAAACATATGGCTCGACTAGGCTTATGCCCAAAGTGTTTGTCGATTTTGTCCCACTGAGGAAGAAACGCCGCAGCACTGAATGTGTGGCTGTAGCCCACTCATACATAAACGATATATCTCTTTGGAAAATACACTTTACTGCTGCAAAAACCTATCTTAAAATTCCTATCACTGATAAGAATTAGCAGCGAACTTTAAAAAAGGGCGAGCACAAAAGATCACGGCAAGGTCGCAGTGTCACACGTTTTTCTCTCTGGAAAAAGCCCGTTTTTTAATAATAATAATAAGGAATTGGGATAAATTCAATGTTCTGTTTTAATTAAAATTCTACTTTAATCAGAAGAATATGAGACTGATTAGAAGGAATTATCAAAACTGGTTTACAATTCCATATCGAACATTATACGACAGAAAAGACCATCGAATAACATGTTCTTTTAAGTCGATTGAAAATAATAATAAATTCCATTAATAATCACTGCGTTAAAGAATTCACACGATACAAGAAGTTCCCTTGCGATCTTTAGGTCAATTGAATGTATTAAATCGCGGGAGTAAAAACTGATCCTCCATGCTCCGGATTCTCAAACATGTTTGATATTTTTTTATTATATTAATAAGTACCTATTGTCTTTTTTTTAATTTTCCATGTATGGTATAAAATCAAAGGCTAATATTATTAGAAACATTCGCAATTAATTATTTAAGTCTGCATAGACCTTCCTTTTATTCTTGCCTGTATTAAATCGTGGCTACTACTAACATGTATGGAAACAGATATGTATATATGTAAAGATCGTGTGCTACGTTCGTTTCGTTATATAAATATGTTCATACAGTTTCCATAAACTTATAAATGACATTAATAATGTTTACCGTCATATCGCCAAAAAATTATGATTCATGTAAATCAAAAGATAATTTGAGGAATCGAAGGTCATTTATAAGTTTAAAATATAAATATAAACAATATTACAACAACTCTAAAGAAGGCAATGCACAGCGTTCTTTTTTTTTAATAATTTATACAAAATTATAAGTTACATAGGAAGAAATTATTTCGGAGAAAAATCTAGCATAACTGGATCTTTTTTTTAGTACTTGTCAAAATAAATGCAATGTTTTATAATTTATAATTTTCATGTAACAAATAAATTTAACTTGTAAATAATATGTTACGTTAATTTTAAAACAAGAAAGATCCAATTGCATCAAGTGTTAATTTCGAAGTAAAAGAAAGTAAAAAAAAAAGTGAGAAATAATGAAAGACAACTAGAAACGAACAGAACTAGAAGTTACCTTCGTTGATGATGTAGTGCCCTCCAATGTGGACACTACAAGTTTATACATTATTATTTTTCATTCGAATTTTACAAGAAATATAAAGTACATATTGTTTTAACTATAATTATGAAACATGAATAGCCAATTCAATGTTTTCTGGTAACTTCAATTGTCACAAACGAAACAGTGCATAGGAAATACAAAAAGGAAGCAACAAAACTTAGCGGAACTTAGCGGAAGTACTAAACAACATATTTACAAGTGAATACCGTAGAACCTTTTGTACAATACATAAAGTTATTTACAATAATCGGGAAGAACACATTAATATAATATAATATAATCATACATAAGTCATAATGAGATTCGTGTTTGATTGAATAATGTTTTTATTATATTAAATGATTTTATTTAGTACACAAATTCAAAATTCGAATGATCCTTTTCTTCCGGATAGTAAACATACTATATACCCATACTTTGTCCATTTTATTATTTTCTCGATGACCATCTGTCATTTATTGATTTACACAATTACTGACTTCTAAATGATGCTGTAATTTTATTCCAATATTAAATTATTTATTTAACATTATGTCAAAAACAATATTTAAATAATTCTAGTTTTATTTGATTGTTTCATATTTTGAATTTACAAAATCATCTGAATTTATTAGAGATTGGCGACTACATCGAACATAACAGCGATGGTTTATATTCAAATATATTTATTATAATAAAAATGTATCGTTATTTACCCCTAATAGGGCAGTCAGAGGATTTGTCAATTATGAAATGTCATAGTTGACATATGAACTGTCAAGTTTCATATGTCAATTATGACATATGAAACTTGACAGTTACGGAAACGTCATAGAAAAAAATATTAATATGGACAGTTTAATTGCTTTATCACTACTTATTTTATTTATATATATACGGACAAATCACACAGATTGAGCTAGCCCCAAAGTAAGTTCGAGACTTGTGTTATGGGATATTAACTCAACGTCTCATCATGACCTGGCCGGGGATCGAACCCGGGGCCTCCACGTCGCAGGCAGGCGTGTTGACCGCTGCGCCACGGAGGACGACAATTGATTAATTAAAATGTGCAAATTTAACACGAAAAAAAAAAAAACAGTATTTCATTTATAAAATTGGGAGATATCAAACATAGAAATTATATAATGGCAATCATTCGAACGTTTAAGAGGGTCGGGGGAGGAAAGTTATCATTCGAAATATAGGTACTTTACATTGATAATATCACATTATAAGATTTAAATAGTTTTATATAATTACACAATATAAATGCTAATTTCAATGAGTTTGTATAAAAATATTTTGTTTTATTATACGCTTATAACAATAGGTCGTCTAGCGAACTATATCACAACAAGTTCGAACAAATCGTATAAAATCTACGGTAAGTAGTGGATCACAGAAACTGAAGTTTCCAAAATAATATAAACTACATTATAAACTATTAAGTAATTTAACATAGCACTAATAATATTATGGCTAAACCAAACAGCTAACGACCAATTGGAGATTGATTAAAATTAATCGTTCTCAGTAAACGTGCTCTTGCAGTTTTCTGTTTTCACGTCACTATGAGTGTAAGCGGGATAGAGTTAGAATTTATACTCTTAACTACACTAGGTTCTCCGTTTGGGGTATGAGCGAGATGGAAGATACGTGTTAGGCCATACGAATTCAAATTTATTGGTATTAATCTAGTGTGGATGTGACCATCTCCATTTGGCCATAAGCTTTAGGGATTAAATGCTGGTACCCTTAGGTTCTTATCAACAGATGGCGTTAGGTTATGATATGCATGTATTGTTCAAGAACATAAAAGCTATGTTATTTGTAATTTTTTTTTTATGTAACTTAGAATGGCAAACAAGCTGACGGCCCACTTGATGGGAAGTGGTAACCGTCGCCTATAGACATGAGCAGTATCACGGACATAACAGAGTATACTGTTTCGCCCATGATACTCCCATGCGTTGCCATTGCTAAGGACTCAGGTGTTATTCCTCTGTACCCTGTTATTTCACTGCCATATCCCACCCTTCAAAACGAAACACAAGCATGCAAACACAACTGCTTCACCGTAGAAACACTAACGGGACAGAGGTGCTCAGGCAAATGACTTTTGTACAAAGTCTCCCTCTGGTGGCAGATTATAGTTATTGATGATTGTTATAAATATATTTATCATATATTTCATAACGCTAACGCCATATTGATAAAATGAAGGACAAAGCAGTAGCTTTTTATCTTAGCTGCATTTTTTATCACTAAATGGAATGCGGATAGTCAATAAATAATAAACTCTAGAAACTTCAACAAAAGGTTAAATATTCTTAAAACGAAATAACAAATGGATTTTATCCAATAATATTTAGAACAACAACATTTACTTCGTACGTATGAGTACGAATGTACGCACGCAGTCTACGTTGGGAACACTACATCTACTTGGAATTATTAATTGAACGATTCCAACTTTCTGGAATGTAACTGTGGACTGAACACGGGATTATAGCTGCGTGTACTTGTGTGTGTGTATGTGTGTACGTCTGTGTCAAACCAGTGAACACTACAGCACTCAATATTGCAATTTTAACCACTAATTACCATTTGACCACCGTCTGCCCACTTATGAGAGTGGCGTACGTCCATCTTGTAATAAAAATGCTCATTATTAAATTGTTAAAAACAATGAATAAATGTATTGTATAGAGCTAGCAGAAGACATTACTGTTACGGAATTATTTGTATATTTACATCGTATGTGAATGAGGTATTTGTACATTTATCAACTTTTGGGGCTTATTTTCGTTCAGTCGGCATACGCTAAGAACGGGGCTACATTTGAAGCGTCATTTCTCTAATACTATGTCTTAAGTTAATATTTTAATTGGATTATATAATGAAATTTCTAACGGACCATTATAAAGTAAACGTATAATTCACGACTTGCTTACTTCATCGTCATCTATTATCCCCCACTGGTGCCCCGCGTGTGTATATCGATAGCGCAGGCGGGGTAACCGTTCCATTATCATTTATTAAAAAAAAAAAAGAAAAAAAAACTATAATAATCTTGACTTCAATATTGCAATAAAAAGTTAAATTTTAATTTTAGTGATTTAGAGAAATGATGCTTCAAGATCGACTCTAATGTACGCTCGTACTTGTGGATTTCATAAGCGGCGTACCTCGTCAGGGACGTTTTCCTTTCGTGTTTCTTATATACTAATTATGTCGATGTTCGAAGAATATTTACATGTAGCTGCACCAGCGAACGGAACATAAAGGTGTTCTTACACGGTCAATTTCAATATGGCAACACTTGCGAAATTTGATGTGAGGGCAACATTGAGGGATTTATTGTGTTGCCAACATATATAATGTTGAATATAATAGAGCCATGTAATTATTGTATTGTGTGTATGTAAAAGACAACCATTATCAGGCATTATTTTCTCAAAATTTTTAATTTTGGCTCTGTAGTAATTTGTAGTTCGAGCCCGACTGGAACACAAGTATTATATGTATATAAACATGAGTATATTTGCTCGTATCGGTCTCATATTTTTTTTAGTCGCCTAGTGTTCCTAGTCTTATTTTCTGCCTAATTTAACAGCAGTTGGCTCTGTGTCATATCCAGGGTTAGTTAGTTATTTAAATTGTCCGTGTGAGCACACCTCGAGGGGTGTGTATGTGTGTGCACCCTAGGGGGCTAGCGGCTGCTGCTGTCAAATGATGTGAGCCCGGTGGCGAGGGTGGCGGGGGTGGCTGGGCCGGCGGGCGGCAGGCGGCGCGTGCTGCGGCGCGACGGCGCGACGCCGCCAGCGCAGCCGCCGCGCGCCCGGCCCGCCGCGCCTGCTCCGCAACCAACCATACGTGAGCCCTAGCCCCCGCTGGCCGCACATAGACTCGTGCTAAGACGCCGCCGCCGCCGCCGCGTGTCGCCACTTACACGTTCCGAGCTAGGGACGCGACGAGCCCGCTCTGCTTCCGTGCAGCGTTGCCCGTGCGATTGCAATCTTAATACGAGTCTATGCGAGGTGCGGGGGAGGGGAGGGGCGATGCGAAGCGAACTGAACGTAACTCGGGAAACAAAAACTAAATACTTCGCGTGCTCTACACACATGTAACACGAAGCCGCTTGCCGGCATTTCGACACACGGGCAACTACCACTGTGACGTCGCACCGACTACGTTGTACGTATAGGGCGACGTTACAGTAATCACAGTACAGCTACGGCTCCCGTTAGTGAAATACCGGCAAATGGAGCGACAGTAGGAGACTAGCACAGTGACAGTCTAAATGTACAGTACGTACGACACGGAGGACAGAGTAGTAGGTATGAATGTGACAGTATGCGAGTGCTTCATACGATGATAGATGTAATACATACGATTTACTATACTACTACTATATATTTATAGGTCAATATTCTAGATTACGAAGGGTATATATATATATATATATATATATATATATATAATTATTTTTCTATTTATATACCTAAATATAATATTAATGATTAATAACAGTGAACCGACCGACCTCAATATAGTGAAATTAGATCCATAACCTTTTAAATCTATATGGTTATTAATTAAATGCTTTCCAAGTTATCAGAGCAAAATGAATTTTTTTATATATGTAAATTATATTTAAGTTTACTTAATAAACGACTACGACATGTTTTAATATATAATATATACACAATATTTATAATAGATACAAATTAAAAATATGTAAGTTGGTACTGGTTGAAATTGGTAAATAAACAAGTACGTCAAGTTGTCTACAATTACCACAATTTGGGTCACGATAAGGAAATCCAACTGGTTGGATCGAGATGGGCAAACAAACTTGCTTATTGACTTGCCAATTAGCAGGCTCTCTCTACTGGCGTCTCCACTCATCATGCACCAAATTGTGACGTTTTGTAAACAGTTCCATCCTATATTGTCATTCCGAATATACACAAACAAACACCACTCACAATCCGGAACTAATCTACCACACAATGCGATTAATGTTTCGTTCAATCAAATCCAATCATTACAGTCGAGTCATGTCTCTCGTATGTAACGCACCTTTAGTAAAATATATGGTGTACATAATTCAAAATTAGCAAATTACGTTCTAGTGAAATACCCGTTTAAAAAATAAGTACTATTTACACAATCTTATTAAGAAAAACACTTGTTTTCTTTAAACAATATAATATATTAATGTGAAGAACTATAAATAAGATGGGTATGGACTAAAACTCACTTTGACAATTTTGAGTTAGGTTGTTATTTTAGTAAAGGCACGATATATAAATATATACTGTTTCAATAACTATTCCTATTGTTTATACGTGACATGTTACAGCGAATAGAATCGAAATAAAAACTAGTCGCCGTAACGTCACTTTACGATAAAATTTTAGATATTTTTTTTTCTAAGATATTTAAAAAAATAAATCTATTTGCGACATCAGGCTGATTGTTCGTACAAATAATTATGTAAATCCATGTTTATAAATAAAATAGGAAAATATTTAGTACGTAGAAAGTATACTCTATATCAGCTTAATGTCCAAACAGCTAATATTTTAAACATTAATGTAGGGAAATTGGAAAATGTAAGGTTGAAGGCATACGAGGCAACACTTAAGTATTTAAAAAATATATATATGAATTATAATTTTTGTGGAAAAATTGTGTTTATAATATAGTTTTTTATTCTTTATACAATTAGGATAAATCTATTATGTAGATTCTATACTTTTAAATTCAGGTAGTATATTTACACACCTAAATAAATATTGCTGAACAATTGTAATTAATTTTAAATTTTGCCACTGGCAATCACCAATATTTAGTAAGTAAAATTCTATTTATTCATTCATTCATACATCTATTCTAACCCTATGAATATATAATAATTTGTATGTAATTTTAAGCTGTGACATGCATGAGTCAATATTTTTTGTATCAATTACATCTAATTGGTATTGGCTGGTTTGTTTCTGTCCAATAAGGTGTCATTTCAATTATCATCAATCTAAGAATCAACTAATCGTCCGATTTATAACTATCATATCCACTGAATCGGTCAACTGCTTGATTTAACACGAAACAGACTTGTCAACTAAAAATGTTAATTTATTAAGAATTGGCCGCTCAATTACAGGGATCGGGAAGCATTAGTTTCTCTCGATTAAAAAGACACAGTATCCAAGGACTGGTAGAAAGATTTACAGGCAGAGACAGAGAGCTGGTTAATGGATTGGCCTCATCATATATTAACAAGATTTAAACCTGACATCCAAACAGCAGATTGCATTATTGTTCTATAAGGAACAGATTGCCTATTAGCAGATTAGAAAAAGAAAAAAAAAAAATTAAGAATATTGAATTAAAACGAATTAACTGAAAGAATGATCACAAATAGAAAGAAATTTAATGTTGGTCATTGCATTTGAATGTGTTTGTAACTTAACCAGTTTACTTTTATTAGAGTAATAAAAAAATAAAATAAACTACAAACAAATAATAGTAAAATCTTCTAATACAGACATTAACCTATAAAATTATGTCTTTTTTTTCATGAATAACACATTACTATATCAAAATATTGCTAGATTTTTAGTAAACGTGACATATTACAATGCATATTATGCAAGTAAAATCATTAATTCACTCTTGCGCCACCTGCCCATTTCTATTTGTTCTCATTTAACCAAAGGTTGTCTGTAAGAGATTGGCGTAGCGATAAGACCGCCTTTTGTACCTTTATGTGTATATTTCAATCTGTATTTATGTTACTGTATTTCACTTGAATTGTTCACTTGTCATTGTATATTTTTATTTATGGTGCAATAAAGAGTTAAATAATAATAATACAATTTAAATTAATGAATTGGCTGAACAGAAGTAAGCTTTTAAGCAAAAGTATCACTGAGCTGTAGCCTTTTTGGGTCACTGCGACACACTTGGTGAAAACATATCTCCAATATTCATTTTATGTTTTATATGTTGTTTTTTTATATTTGAAAAAATGTAAATAATTGTATCATTTTATTCATTAATTTACGTGTGTTAAATGGCTCAAATAAAGTGTTTATCTATCTATCTATCTATCTATCTAAGTATGTAGATGTTAAGTGGAAATTTTTATTAAAAGAGAGGGACTGAAAGTAATATCAACTGGAACTAACAGAAGTTTCGAGACAAAGAATAATCTTGTTCTGCAAATAATATAATATCAATAAATTCGAACAAACAGTTAAATAAAATTGAGATGACAATGATCCGAATTGAGAATTTTGTCATTTTTACAATTAAATTAGGATTTCAAATGCGTTGCCTCGCATGCTCTAATGTGTATTAAGATTTTCGAATATTATCTTGGAAACAGCTTCAGTGCTATGATGTTGTGCCTTAAAACTATTTATATGACTATTTGTAACACGAACACTTTGAAGGATTTTGTTTATTTTAACAATATAATAAAGGCAATGTATTGGAATTGTCTAATATTTTTTTTATACCACTGAGGTGGCAAACAAGCATACGACCCACCTGATGGTAAGCGGTCACCGTAGCCTATGAACGCCTGCAATACCAGAGGTATTACGCGCGCGTTGCCGACCCTGAAGAAACCTCTTTACCCCCCTTTTGAAGAACCCCATGCTGTAGTCTCTTGGGAGAACCTCATGTCAACAGTCAATGTAGACAATTAGTATATTGAAGTCTATATTTAAAGGATTAAGCAAAATAATATAACTAATGGTTTTTCGAGCGATTTGAAGCGATATTACTAACTTTACTGAAAGTAAAAAGAGACTGTTTCTAGTATTAAAATGAAAACTTGCCTGAATAACACCCGAGTCCTCAGGAATGGCAACGCATGGGGGGTATCATGGGCGAAACAGTATACTCTGTTATGTCCATGGTACTGCTCATGTCTATAGGCGACGGTTACCACTTTCCATCAGGTGGGCCGTCAGCTTGTTTGCCATTCTATGTTGTATAAAAAAAAAAGAATTTAAATGGACATTAGTTGGTGGTTTTAAAATAAATGGGTATCTATCAAAAAATCTCTGATGATGGCTAAAAATGTAACGGAAAATAATCGACACGATTTGAACAATTTTAATCAAACGACTCCTTCAAAGTGTTTCTTCGTGTACGTGTTGGGAGAGAGTTCAGGGCCGGGGATATGGTCGGGTATGATCGGGTATGATCGGGTATGGTCGGGTATGGTGTGTTGTGTCGCGGTGCATGGCGTGTACTCACGAGGGCCTCGAGTTCGCGAGCAGGGCGGCGGGGTCGCGCTGCTTGATCTCGCTCTCGCGGACCGCCTCCGTCATCGTCTTGAACGCTGAGTTGTGGATGCTGGAACCACATATCACGTGCACCATTTATATATTTAAAGATCATTATTTTGTAACAAGGAAATAAAGAAATCTCTTCAAAGAACCGTGTCCCGTGAATTACAGTGCCCTATAATATTTCACAGATAAATTTTTCAAAGATATTTAGATATAGCGATATTTTCACAAATGAAATGGGTTCCTGCCACCTTGATATAACGCAGTTAATTTTTTATTTTTTGCTAACGAGGTGTCCCCACCAAATGCGCTTATAGGAACAATATAATTATAAGCTATATCGGGACTCGGCATGGCCCAGAACCCATACTATCCGGGACACGGTTCTTTGACAGTGTACTACTGGGAATAAAGATGTGTCAACTGATTTAAAATAGTAATAGTCGCCTAACAACATGGATATAAAAATACTGTGCCACCCCTATAGAGACTTTCTCACAAAGCTAAACTGGAGAATTACGGTATTATACGTCTCGTTTCATTGGCTATCTTTCTCGTTAGAATAAAACGATTTTTTTTCAAAAAGGGTACTAGAAACACTCAGTTATGGCATAAGGTATAGTAAAGAATCAGGTTAAATGAAATAACTGGTATATTGTAAAACGGCATCTAACCTTCCGTTAAATATCCACCGTACGTTAACAGTATTTGGGACATTGCTTTTAAGTGTTGCTCTTCTAACATTTGGTTTTCTTTACTAAAATGATTAATAAATTATAAGTTTGTATAAAAATATGTAGTTTACAATTATTTTATTATAGTAAAAAATTTTTTTTCAATTGTTTAACCCAAGTATTTATACAGTAAGTGTAACTGGTATTGTAACCACAGAGAGGTATGAATAAAAAAACATGCTCTTTATACTAATTATTTAAAAAAAAAATAACACTACAGACTTGCATTTCGCGGACTATATTTGAATCACGCTCGCGTCATAGTCGCTCATGACTAAGGATCACGAATTGGTTCCGAAACTAGTGGAGCAATTTCTATCTAATTGCACGTAAGTTAAACAGGTATTTTAACAGAACTATTTCTGGAGAATAAGTGGAAATGTGTTCGTAGACTGGAATTGAGAGAATGAAACGGAGTAGAGGCATATTGTATTCACACGGACATACAATATTACCAGTACAGTTTTATATTTATAGTAGAAATAGTGTTTTTTTTTTTTTTATTTAATTTTTATTTATTATTTCAGCCTTTAACTGTCCATTGCTAGATATAATCTTTTCTCATAAGGGGAGTTTTGCCAGTACTTGTCACATTTGGCAGGCAGGTTTTTTTTAATGGATGATAATGGAATGGTAACCCCACCCGCGCTATCGGTATACACTGGCGGGGCACCAGTGAAGGATGATAGGTGAGGATGAAGTAGGTCAGTTAGCCCATCGTGACAAATTCAACAAGAATTGTTCACGATGGTTTCCAGGAGAAACCACGTGGAGTTCGACCTAATAAGCTATATTGCTAGCAATGGGGCTGTCAAACTCCAATACTAACAATCCCTTTCCCCCCTGGCAGGCGGGTTGACAACAGTTCGGCTTTTAGTGATGTTTTAAGTGGGACGCTGCAGCCCATCCCTCGCTCTACTTTAGTCGCCTCTTACGACATACATGGGAAAACAATGGGTGGCCCATTCTGTGCCAGGACACACAGCGATTCTAATTTATTATATTTAATTAAATCTACATGTGTAAAAATACGTACTATACTATTCTACTATTAGAATGAATACAAGTTATGCGAATTAATCAAATTTTTTTTGCGTGAATTTACTGGGTACAGAGGAATAACATCCGAGTCCACAGGAATGGCAACGCATGGGGGGTATCATGGGCGAAACAGTATACTCTGTTATGTCCATGGCACCGTTCATATGTTCATATGTCTATAGGCGACGGTTACCGCTTTCCATCAGGTGGACCGTCAGCTTGTTTGCCATTCTAAGTTGTATAAAAAAAAAAAAAAGAATTAATTAAAGTACACAAAATGTCCTAGGGATGAATGAGGATCTTTATAGAATATAAATAAAAAAAAAAAAAAACAAAATACTGTTTTCGCGCGCTTCCAAGTTCTAGATAATATTAAATTTTCACAATTTAGAAAATTCAATTATACATTTTCTATACAACTGTAACTTTTACTATTTAAAACGTATACGCTCGTATTTACTCAATGATATAATTCTAAATATATCTATTCTAAATATATATTAAATAACAAACAAGTTAGCTATCATATATGTATAACCCTTTCAGACCCAAGATTTTTTCTTTCAGATTAAATATATTTTCGTGTTTCGGAGCCAAGCCATCTTGCCGGCACGCACGAGACTACTGCACCACCTAACCGCTAAAATGATTTCTTATTGGCTAGTTTAGAATCTCGCTATCATGTTACTTCAGCTTCGTGCGTAAAAATGAATTGCGCGCGGTTTTAGAATTTTTTAAAGTTACAACTCACGCCCGTATCGTTCAGGTCTGATAGGGGTATAGTGTCAGTTATCAATCTAACAGTAATAGGCAGTCGACACACGCAGTGCAGGCGGGCGGTGCGGGGGGCGGGGGTGGGGGCGGCGGCCGTCGTCTGCCGCTCCACCACACGTGTGCACTTGGCACCACAAGTCATACATTGCATTTGAGGCCTATAAAACCAAACGCAGCTACACGACATAAAATCGATTTAATTTTTGATTCTGTACTGAAATATTTACACATATGATTTTTTTTCTATTTAATTTTACCTACCCTCCAAAAATAGAGGGGAAGAGATTGTTAGTAATGTAGGCTACACGTCCCACTGCTAGCAATATACCCTGTCAGGTCGACCTCCACGCGGTTCCCCCTGGAAACCATCGTGCTGAGTTCCAGGTGTATTCATCACGATGGGCCGACTGACCCCTGCTTTTTCATTATTCACCTGTCATCCCTCACTGGTGCCCCGCCGGCGTATACCGTTAGCGCAGGCGGGGTTATCACTCCATTCATCATCCATTAAAAAAAAAAACCCTCCAAAAATAAGCATAATATTGTCAGGTATACAAATTGGGAATCTGTAATTGGCTAATGTATGGTGTAAATATAATATTTTTAATCATTCTAGATATAAGCTGTTAATTCTAAATGTAATATTAAAATAAAATAAATAAATGTTAGAGCTTTATTGATATGAGTTCTATTTATTAAAATTAAAATTTTTACTAATATTCAAATTTTCTTTAATCTGGTTTAAAATATAGGATATCATTCGGTATCCTTGACAAAAAAAATTTTTTTTAGTTTCCTGAACATTTGACAGATTTGGATTTAGCTGTCTTTGATTTTATAGGCCTCAATTAGTAATGGTTCAAAACCTTACATTATATAAATAGAGTATCGAGCCTCAAAAATGGCTAAACTTTTTGTAATTTGGCAATTAGTTGACAAAAAGTCGATTTTTCTATCAGTGTTCTATATACTTATGTACACAATGTATCTTGACGTATTATTTAATAAATAGAATGAGTATTTACGCATTAAAAAGATGCAGAAATTATAAGACAAAATTTAGTTAGTTATAAAAGAGTCACTCATAAATATTTATCACGTAAAATTGCATGAAAAAGTTTACCCACTTTTCTCGAAGCATTTCTATGGAGACACTCTATCTATACAATCTAAGCTTCACACGTTATTTAGCAGACTATAAAAAAAAATAGGCGATCGTAACACTCACTGAAATATATATATTGTGACAGTGAATTTACTGGGTACAGAGGAATAACACCTGAGTCCTCAGGAATGGCAACGCATGGGGGTATCATGGGCGAAACAGTATAATCTGTTATGTCTATAGTACTGCTCATGTCTATAGGGTACGGTTACCACTTTCCATCACGTGGGCCATCAGCTTGTTCGCCATTTTAAGTTGCATACAAATATATATTATATTAGATTCTAGCTACTATTCTGAGCTACTTACACAGTGACGACTAGGTCCGGTATGAGAGTGGCGATGGGGATGAGGACCAGCCCCAGCCAGAACACGAGCGAGCTGAACACCATGCGGTCCATGCCGCGCATCACGGCGCCGATCAACACCAGCGGGTACAAGTTACTGGCATACACAAACAAATACGTTGAGACATTAGTCGAATTAAAATTTATACTTAAGTATATAACATTATTTATTTATTTAACTCTTTATTGCACCAAAAACATAATAATAAACATAGACATATAAACAATTCAACTGAAATACAGTAGCATGAAGTACAGGTCAAAATATACACATAAAGGTACAAAAGGCGGTCTTATCGCTAGGGCAATCTCTTACAGTCAACCTTTGGTTAAAGGAGAACAGATAGAAGTAAGTAGATGGCGCAAGAGTGATATAAAAATTTTTACGTATCATATAAATTGGTAATGAAAATGTGTATAATCAGAGGTTGATATAAAATTAAATATGCCGACATTCCAACTTAATTTTCCGTATATTTTTACGCCATATTTGACAATATTTTTTTTTATTTTCACGTTACAGCAAAGACATATCACAGATACTGCCTTAACATGGTGTATGAAGAAAGATTATAATATTATTTGTAATGATTAACTATCTAACTATTATAGACGCAGTTTTCTTAGCTCGCTCCATGCAACTTAAAAATTGGCGTGAAATTACAAAGAATAATTGTTTTAAATCACGTTTACTTCTATGAAGTCAGTCAACTAATTCTGGACTCTAGAAACTGTTATTTATGAGTATGTAATTCTTTCTATAATCGTATTTACCTGTATACGAGGATAAATATGAACCACATGGCGACGGAGCCCCAAATGGCGACGTGGGTGACCCAGGTCCACGAGTGCGTGGCTAGACCCGCCTTCAGGCACACTGTCAGCACCACATACTACGAGAGAACAAAAACACGCGTTACTAGAGTTGTATTGTCGTGGGCAACAGTTAATTACAGGGGGGGGGGGGGGAGAAGGGATTGTTAGTAATGGGGATTAGTAGCCCTATTGCTAGCAATATACCCTGTCAGTTCAACCTCCTCGTTGTTCCTCCTGGAAACCATCGTGATTGATTTATTGTTAGATTCCTCACAGTGGGCTAACTGACCTGCTTCATCTTCACCTATCATCCCTCACTGGTGCCTCGCCAGTGTATACCGACAGCGCAGGCGGGGTTACCATTCCATTATCATCCATTAAATAAAAACAGTTAATTACATATATGAATAAATTAATACAAGTTGTAGCCGACCCCGGACGGGAACTTACTAGTTTGGCTTCTTCACAAGTCCTGGGGCCAAACTGGGTCTTTACCATCCAAACACGCTTTGTTGCGTGTAAAAAGTTACTTATTTACACTATGTACACGGAAGAGGGTATCGCGATACACACGAACACAGTTACTGACGATACCGCAGCGGAGTTCGAACTCGACGCTGGGTACGAGCGTGCGCGTGCGCATGGTAAGCGTCAGGCCGGACGACTAACTGTCGATGCATGGCGCTATCGACGCAGTGGGTGCGGTAATTAGAGATGGGATTAACCTCGACTGTTAGTCAATTTAATAATGAAAGGTATGTTATAGTAACCGTGTAGACGATGTTGCCGAGCACGAGGTAGCCGCCGTCGCGGCCGTCGGGCCACAGCACGTGGTGCGAGGTGAGTAGCACGGGCAGCCAGAACAGCAGCACCGAGTGCAGCAGCGCGTTCACCGCCCACACCCAGAACACGCGCACGTTGAACAGCAGCCCCTGCTGCGACGGGATGTACAGCACCGGGTGCTGCGGGACATACGGACGAGCATGCTCTCAGTGTGGTTTTATTTATTTATAAGTTTAACAGTCTTACTGAAATAATTTGTATAAACTCATTTATTAATTTACGTGTGTCATAAATGGCTGAAATAAAGTGTTTATCCATCTATCTATCTAAATTAAAAGTACGTGGCATGCTTTAAAAATTACTTATTTTTTTATAGCAGACTAGTTACCAAACTGCCTGCCAAGTGTGGTACCTACTAGTAAAACCCATCAAAGGGGAGGACTATGTTCAACAGTGGATAATTAACAACTGATATATATATTTATACCATACATTACAACAAATTACTGATTTCCAATTTGTATACCAAACAAAGTTAAGCAAAATTTTTTTGAGGCATAAATTTAGATATTTTGCAAGCAACTTGTAACCCGCTCTGCATCAAGCACTGGTATAAATTATACTTTATTTTGACCTTTTGTAAACTCAAATTTCTGTACGTAGTTACAATTCTGGTGCCATCGTTTTATTTTTGACAACTTTGCAGACTAGTTTGGTAACAGCAGACAACTTTTAGTACATTTTATGTTAGTAAATATACTTAAACAACCTCTGGGTAAATGAGTATTCACACTAGAGGACTATCTAATACATTGACAATAACAGAATATCAGTGTTTTGCTTCACTTTTTGTTTTCAGCAAAGCAATAAACTGAGTTCTGGCCTTATTGTGTTACTATGACACATGCATGAAAGAAGGAAATTGTTGTTTTATATATTTTGCTTTTTGTTTTTTTTTTTTTGTTCTTCATTCTTTTATCTCTTTTTACTGTGTATATCTGTATTATGTGTATGTTTGTATTGTTATTTGTGTGCAGTAAGTAATGCAAATAAATTATCTATCTATCTGTATTTATAAACATTTATATACGATTTTAAATTTTACTAGAAGGACACTGTACAAAAGTTGGCTACATGGATAGACTAGATGATTTTTCTACTTGTATTTCTGTCGCTAAGCAGTTTTATCCGCATGGCTGTGTTTAAGTTCGAAGGAATGGCAACGCAAGAAGAGTGCTGTTAGTATATTTTTAATGTCCATGATGTTTTTTAAAACTATACATAATGGTTACCATTTCTAAATCCATAAAAAATAAGCCTAGAGTATGTGTTTTTTTTTACAACACAGATGGCAAACGAGCATGCGGCTCACCTGATGGTAAGTGACTACCGTCACCCATGATCACCCACAACACCAACGGCATTGCAGGTGTGCTGCCGGCCTTTTAAAAAAGGAATATGCTCTTTTCTTGAAGGTTATGATGTCGTATCGGTTCGGAAATACTGCTGCTGGAAGTTGATTCCAAAGGATGGTTGTGCGTGGGAGAAAGTGCTTTGAAAAACGCACATTGGAAGACCGCCACTCGTCCAGATGGTTGGGATGAAACTTTAGTTTATGGCGGGTTGTACGGTGGTGAAATTCAGCAGCAGGTATCAAAACTAATAACTTACCCTTAACATGATTTCGGGCGAGCATAGCTTGTCGAAGAGTCCAATGGCGAATGGCGGGAGTGCGGTGAATATCACGTTGTAGAAACCTATCGTCCAGCGCTCGAACAGGATCTGACCGGACCTGTGTGAACATGTCAACGACGTGCTATCAGTGTATGCATGTATGTATGTATTATGGCCACTTACATGTATTGTGATTGGGCCAAAACATCTATGCGTATTGATAAATTATGAATGAATGAATGAATGAGTATACTTTATTTGCATTATACAATATAGGAAATAAGCAAGGCAATTTACAAACACAACGATACAATTGTATAAGTACAGTAAGGCGGTCTTATTGCTGAGAGCAATCTTTTCAAGACAACCTTAAGGTTATTATGGTGACATTAACAATAACTTCATATATAATAAATTATAGATATGAATTATGTCGAGGCTGTTTCGACGCCGAAGAAACGGCTGCTCACGTAATCCTGGAATGTGAGGCTGTGGCCCGTCAACGTTTAGAAATCCTCGGAACGGTGAGGTCGCTCCGTGAGGCATGTGAAGAACCCAGGAAGCTTCTGCGCTTCTGGGCGGAACTAGGTTGGCTGTACTAGATACGACTCATACGCACAATGGCCCAAATGAGAGGCTAAGCGCGGAAAATAGAATCTTCATCACATTCACACATTCACATAGATATAAATTACTCAAATTTAAATAGGCGATCTTATTGAAATATTATCATTGATGTCTCGTATTTATTGATGATTTGACAGTTAACAAATTAAAAAAAAAATTGACTTAGCAAAATGAATTTTAGTATTGTCTATTAAAAATTGGTCACTATTAAGGACAAATCTGTGCAGAAGTATCAAAGGTTTTTATCAGGGAGTGAAGGGATTATAAGTAATGGAGATTAAGGGTCTTATACAGAATCTAAAGTAATCAATTAAGAATAAAAAAGTAATAGTGTAAACGGTGTACTACTCACCACGCTGAGTATATGGCGAACCAGAGCTCGATGACATAGAGGCAGATGTTCTTGTAGAAGGAGTAAAGGATGAGCTTGCTGATCCGCGAGTAGTTCCACGCGCCGTGCACCAGCAGCAGCCGCAGCAGGAAGCGGAACTGCATCACGATCACATATGCCGGATGTAATGTTACTGAACGGTTTAGACTTCTGAGGGGCGAGAGAGTGAATTCAATTTCTGAATTGGCATAAAATTTAGTTTTTAGGAATAATCACACGCCAGGGTTCATTTCCTCTTTTTATGGCAAATCAAAAAGCTGAGTTGTGGCCATTTTGTATTACTGTGGCACATGTATGAAGAAAAAAAATTGTTACTAATTTTATGCATTACGCTTTTTTTTTTTTAATTTTGTGTATATGTATCTTTTTTTATCTTTTTTCACTTTGCATTTGTGTCTTTTGCTGTTTGTGTGCTGTAAGTAATGCAAATAAATTATCTATCTATCTTTATCTATCTATTTTTCTTGTGTTCAGGTGACGGTGAGTACCCTGTGTCGGGCTGAATGTGTCGGCAGCAGTTTATTTGAGGAGGTGCAAGGCGCATCTTAGTCGAGCGGTCTCGGTATACAATAAGCTACCCCTTCCTTTCCTGTCGGTGTCACAAGAGCCGACTGAGGGAAGGCGAGGGATGGGCAGCAGCGTCCCTTTTAAAACATTTCTAAAGCCAGACTGTGGCTGCCAGTCCGCCTGCCAAGCGTGACAACTACTGGCAATACTCAATAAGGGGGAGGCTTATGTTCAGCCGTGGAGAGTTGAAGGCTGATGTGAAGGTACCTGTGCGACGCTGTAGTCGGAAGCGCAGACGGCCTGCAGCCCCTCGACGCCGGAGATGCCGACGCCGACGGACGCGCGCTGGATCATGGCGACGTCGTTGGCGCCGTCGCCGATGGCCAGTGTCACCGCGCCCGTCGCCGCCGACACCATCTCCACCACCTGCCGACCGCGTCGTAACGCCACCACACCACATTTAAGAACCTCGTATTTTTTTTTATACAACTTAGAATAGTAAACAAGCTGACGGCCCACCTGATGGAAAGTGGTAACTGTCGCCTATACACATGAGCAGTACCATGGACATAACAGAGTATATTGTTTCGCCCATGATACCCCCTATACGTTGCTATTCCTTAGGACTCAGGTGTTATTCCTCTGTACCCAGTAAATTCACGCTCTATCCCACCCTTCAAACCAAAACACAGCCATGCAAACACAACTGCTTCGCGGTTGAAACACGAATGGTACCCAAGCAATCGACTTTTGTACAAAGTCTCCCTCTGGTATTTTATCGACTCGTAGACCGTTGCGAAGTATTCTATGGTAGATATAGAAAAGTATGAATGCGAGTTTTTATCCTGGATTAGTGAAGTGAAATCAAAATGCGAGTAGACATTTTATAAGCAAAAAATACATTCAGAGTGTGACTACTGAAATGAAATAATATTTACTTGCAAAAGACAATTTTTTTACGAATCACACACTAAAGAAGCAAGACTATACAGTATAATTTACACTATATATAACCTGACAAAACAATCATATACACACATATATATTTAAAATAGTTTCTAGCACTAATTTGACTTTGTACAAAAGTCGATTGCTTGGGTACCTCTGTCCCATTCGTGTTTCAACCGTGAAGCAGCTGTGTTTCGGTTTGAAGGGTGGGATATGGCGTGAATTTACTGGGTACAGAGGAATAACACCTGAGTCCTCAGGAATGGCAACGCATGGGGGGTATCATGGGCGAAACAGTACACTCTGTTATGTACATGGTACTGCTCATGTCTATAGGCGACTGTTACCACTTTCCATCAGGTGGACCGTCAGCTTGTTCGCCATTCTAAGTTGCATAAAAAAAATTTGCAAAAGACAATTTTTTTACGAATCACACACTAGAGATGCAAGCCTAATACTGTATAATTCACACTATGTATAACCTGACAAAACAATTATTATATATACACACATACATATTTAAAATAGTTTCCAGCACTAGTAGACGTTATTCTATTCAAATTTGATTTTGTTCTTTTTTTTCCTAGTAATTTTAATTATAAACGATAGAAAAATCTGTTAAATCAGTCCAGTGATTCCCAAACATTCTGCTTACCAATAAATAATGAATGAATGAATGAATGAGTATACTTTATTTGCATTATACAATATAGGAAATAAGCAAGGCAATTTACAAACACAACAATACAATTGTATAAGTACAGTAAGGCGGTCTCATTGCTGAGAGCAATCTTTTCAAGACAGCCTTAAGGTAATGGACTAATTGTTGTACAAGCAGGTATGATAGTGCTGTATAATTAAAAAAGCATCTTTTGTAAATTAAAAATTAAAAATAATATTTAAAAGGACCTACTTATTTAAAGCATTAGCATAACATGAGCGGAACAGTTTGACGGGCGCACCTCAGCCTTCTGTATTGGCGAGACGCGGCAGCAGACGACGACCTTGCACGAGATGCACAGGTCGAGGAAGTCCTTCTTGAGGTCGCAGCCCATCGCGTACTTGAGGGTCTTGCCGTCGATGATGAGCGCCACCTCGTTCTGCTTGCGCAGGTTTTCGCCGAACTCCATCGATTGCCGGGATATCGTTTCGCGAGTACCCTGTATTTAAACATAGCTATTACTCGAGCGAGGATGTTGCCTATGTCAACAGCTTTTACGCCACTTTCAGTATACGCAAAGGCTTCCAACATGGCTACTGGACTTATAACAAAACAAGGCTTCTAGACAAGTTACACACATAAATATTAGGAGAGGGGGAGACTTTGTACAAAAGTCGATTGCTTGGGTACTTCTGTCCCATTCGTGTTTCAACCGTGAAGCAGTTGTGTTTGCATGGCTGTGTTTCGGTTTCAAGGGTGCGATATGGCGTAAATTTACTGGGTACAGAGGAATAACACCTGAATCCTCAGGAATGGCAACACATGGGGGTATCATGGGCCAAACAGTATACTCTGTTATGTCCATGGTACTGCTCATGTCTATAGGCGACGGTTACCACTTTCCATCAGGTGGACCGTCAGCTTGTTTGCCATTCTAAGTTGTATAAAAAATAAAAAAATAAAAAACAAATAACCAGTGATATGGATTTCCACAATATAACAACTAGTTGAATAAAACGGATATACATGAATCACAATAGGATTTACTTGTATAAACCGCCGATGTCAATGTACTGGGTCTGTAAATATTACACAGTCAGCGCGAGAGGTGTATTGAACTCGGCGGGTTATGTAGAGTAAAACCTATTACGAGTGGTGTGCGGTGGTGTGCGGTGGTGGGTACGTACGTCGAGGCTGTCCTCGTTGAGCACGAGCAGCGGCATGGAGGGGTGGATGAGGTGGGCGGAGTGCGCGATGTTGATGGCGGTCTCCTGCTTGTCGCCGGTCAGCACCCACACGTAGATGTTCGCGCGCAGCAGCGCCGAGATCGTCTCCGGCACGCCTTCCTGCCATCACCACCACCATCGCTTGTTATTACATGTCGTGTCAGCCGTGGCAGACATTTGGTCCTTCCCTCCGGATATTACATTTTGTACTACCCAATAAACGTGTGACCATTTTCTAGATCGCTCTCCGTTGTACACGAAGACCTCTGACGTGATTTTCGTTTGATAATTTTGGCCAATTTTGTGTAGCGATATGATTACAAATGGATAATCATCTTTAAAAAAAATTCAAATCCGTTTAGTAGTTTAGATTAGCACGTTCAAACAAACTTCTGCTATCGGTACAGATAATCTATTATTATTTATTTATTTACTTAACAAAATTAAAATACAGGTACTGGGTACTAATAGATAGGATGCAGGCATAAATAAGACAGTTATTACCATCATTTATCAATATAAGAAGTATTGGCTGCAACTAGAAGAACTGTGAAAATAATAGGTTATTTTTAAACAATTTAATATTATACAATGCTAATAAAACATGTGAAATGTATAATTTTTTAAATAGTATGACAGGTGTTGTCTGAGGACGGATGTAGTAAATTGTATCTGGGGGTGGTGGTGGCCGAGCTCGTACCTGCAGCTTGTCCTCGATGGCGGTGGCGCCGAGCAGCCGCAGGTTGTTCTCGATGAGCAGCGCTGCTTCCTCTATTTTCTGCTCGCGGTCCTGTATCGCTATGCTCGCCTTGTGGTATGTGTTTGACCAGTCCTAGTGACAAACATATACATGTTGTCAAGTTTGTTTCTCATTAAGGTTAGTAGAAACACTGGATTGCAGATAGACTTTAAATGCAATCGAATTGAGTTCAAATTGACATTATTTATTTATTTACACTTTATTACACCATTTATAAAATAGTAAATACATTTAACTGTAATGAGAAGTGATACAAAAGGCGGCCTTATTGCTAAGCAATCTCTTTCAGAACAACCTTTGGGTAGAGAGCATTACATCGAATGGACATCAAATAAATATTACAATTTGAAGTCTATTCACTACAATCATTGATATAGTTGATTGTATCGAAAATCAGCCAGTAAATCTTAATATGCATTTATAAATTTAAAATAATCGGTTTTTTTTTTTTAATTTAATCTGTTAAAGTTAAGTACAACATAACTCGAGTATTTCATATTGACAGAAAAAAAATTTAGAGGCGTGATGTTAGATTATTAAACATTCGAGTTACTCTGTTCCCACCGCCAGGTCTTCAAGCCTCGACGCTCTTAATTTTTTAATTTATGGCGATGTTAGAGAATTCTGGAATAACACTGCTGTCATAGTTTTTTTTTTTTTTTATACAACTTAGAACGGCAAACAAGCTGACGGCCCACCTGATGAAAAGTGGTAACCGTCGCCTATAGACATGAGCAGTACCATGGACATAACAGAGTTTATGGTACGTTACTTTATGATCACATCTATAAGCGACTTTTACATCAGATGAGTCGTCAGATATATAATCTAAATTGTAGAAAAACAAAACCAATTTAAATTCCTCATTGCTGTGTAACGTTAATCTAGAATGTGTCGTGTACGTACCTGGTAGAACTGTTCCGATATGTCGGTGACGGCGAACACGAGCGTCCTCAGCCCCTCGGCGGCGAAGTGTTCCAGGTGTGCGAGCGTGGTGTCGGCCAGCGGCGCCGAGCGGCCCCCCGCCAGCCGCGGGTAGATCACCGAGTCCGCGCCCTTGCAGTACAGCTTGATCTCGCCTGCACACATCCTTACTGTTACACCACTACTCATACTTTCTGAGCCATTACTCATTTTACAGTAAGTCCTGTTCAATAATAATTTATTAACTTTAATATTTTATGTTATTTTTTTTTATACAATTTAGAATGGCAAACAAGCTGACGGTCCACTTGATGGACAGTGGTAACCGTCGCCTGTAGACATGAGTAGTACCATGGATATAACAGAGTATACTGTTTCGCCCATGATACTACCGATGCGTTGCCATTCCTGAGGACTCAGGTGTTATTCCTCTGTACCCTGTAAATTCACTATGTGAAATTAGCGACAGTAGATTAAGTTAAGTACATCTAAGCTGTTTATAAAATATGCTGATTTTTGTTGTTATATATAATTATATTAAATTATAAGTAAAAATGCCGTCTGTTGACTTAATGTAACATAAAAAAAAGTCTAAGCAACACATACAAATTTTAATTTTACAATGTGTTTTTGCATTAAATCCATAGTATTTTCTTATTTATATGATTTTTTAATGATTTTTTTTTAAATATTAAACAACAATTGTTTTTTTTTATTTATTTTTTAATAATCTTAATTAACAATAATTACGAGTAAGTATTGTATGTACGTAGTACAAAGTAAGGTGCCTAATTAACTAAACTTTTTTGCAACTAGTCAGTATGTCCTCTAAATCCAAAAAAGTTTACACAGGTATTACCTACTTGGTAAGAAATGATATAATCATTGATTAACAATTTGAAATAATATGCTTAGACTTTTTTGATGTGTATATTCTGTTATAATTCATTAGTTTTTTGTTTTCTTTTGTATAAAAAAAACTACATTTATCAAATTATGTAAAAATATTAATTTTGAACATAAACTCCAAAAACAAAATAATAATAAATGAAAAATAGTAGAGTGTGAAGCTACGAGTATGAGTGGCGGCGGCACGTACCTGTGGGCGTCCTGACGACGACGGACATGCGCTTGCGCGCGGAGGTGAAGTCGAGCACGTGCAGCACCTTGTAGTGCAGCGCGCGGCCGCGCGCGCGCACGGCCACGCCGCCCGCCGACCGCGCCTCGAACACGAACCCGAACGCCGCCGCGCCCGCCACCAGCGCGCGCTCGTCTGCCCACCACCGCACCACACATACACACATACACACATACACACATACATACATACATACATACATACACGCGACGACACCAGGGCCTCTACTCACTTATGGGCGGGAGCACCTACATACCAGCTTGAACCCTTCCACTCAGTGCAACGACGAGCTATGAGAATTGTCGATGATCCCATGCTCGCAAGCGGTATCGAACCCTTAAGTCTTAGGAGAGATTTTGCCTCACTCTGCGTGTTCTACCGCCTGTACGACGGATTGTGCTCAGAGGAATTATTCAATATGATGCCTACGGCCACTTTCTATCATCGTACGGCTCGCCATCGACAGGGAGTTCACCCTCATACCTTACAGCCTAAATGATCGCGTACAACGCGGTTTCAGAGATGCTTTCTCCCACGAACACTCAGGTTATGGAATGAGCTCCCTGCCGAGATTTTCCCAAGAGACTACAGCATGGGGTTCTTCAAAAGAGGGGTAAAGAGGTTTCTTCAGGGTCGGCAACGCGCGCGTAATACCTCTGGTATTGCAGGCGTTCATAGGCTACGGTAACCGCTTATCATCAGGTGGGCCGTATGCTTGTTTGCCACCTCAGTGGTATAAAAAAAAAACATGAGTCATCCGGGGATGCTATCTCATTCTATCTCACGAACTCGCTAGCGATGTCGATTCCATCGACGAATTCGCTTGCCACTAGTCTAGAGGCCCTGGGCAACGAACACACTGCACGATAAAACCGTTTATAAATACATTCAAGAAATACGATGAATAACGGAGATAGAAATCTTATGTAGATTTTGCTTCGTAACAATTTTTTTTTTCTCAAACAAAAACAACGGTTTCAATAAATCAAAAATCAGTTTTAATTACTAGGTTATAATACCGTGTTGGTCTCACATTAATTTTGTGAAGATCGCAAGTAATTACGATTTTTTTTTATATATTTATGATCACTATTATTATTAAGCGATAGTTCAACTGCTAAAAACTAACTTTGGCATATTCTTGGATTTAATTAAAGCTTTAGATACGACTGAGATCCCATTACTTTCTACGAATATAAATACCTCGTGTTTAGTTGAATGTCAAACTAAACACGAGGTATTTACACCTTTCAATCTTACTTGATCGATAAGAATCAATATGCTACAATTAATTCACCAATAAGTTGATATTAACATATCACGAATGGAGTTTCTCAAGGAAGCATAATAGGGTCCAGCTTCGTTAATGGTTACATAAACGATATTTTAATGTAATAACTACCTGTTTGACTTACGTGTAATTAGACCTACAACTTTTAACAATAAACGATATTGACAAACAAAATCTTGAACCAATTCAAACTGCTGTTAAACCACCTTAAGACTCAAATAGAAAATAATCAATTAATCAACTAGTTATCAGCAAAAACCTTTTTAGTTAACCATTACATTATACATAAAATGCCAAAAAGTAATATGGATTTTTATATTTTATTTCAAAAAACAAAAATAATAAACATAAATTTAAATTATGATTCAAAAATATACCTGGTGAAGCAGCCTGATATTCGATTTTTCCATTCCGCTGTTCTGGTATAACAGTGTGGCAGATGGCTAGCATCGTGAGAAACTCCTCGATGATGGGTGCTGTGGGGTGGTTCTTGGTCAGATTCTGATACAACAACGTGTCTTCCAATTTCTCATTTGGTCCCGGACGATTGTAAATAATCTGTAAAAAGATTAATACATGTAAAAAACTATGCTAGAGAGAACACTCAGGTTGTGGAATGAGTTCCCTGCCGAGGTTTTCCCATGAGACTACAGCATGGGGTTCTTCAAAAGGGGTTTAAGGTAAAGAGGTTTCTTCAGGGTCGGCAACGCACGCGTAATACCTCTGGTATTGCAGGTGTTCATAGGCTACGGTACCCACCTGATGGTAAGTGGTTAACTTACCATCAGGTGGGCCGTATGCTTGTTTGCCACCTTAGTGATATAAAAAAAAAATTATGCGACTCCGGCTTTTTGTATGCACTCCTTAAAACTCCGACTAAGCTGATAAAAAGGAAGTTAGTTAATTGTCAACTATCGCATTGTCGATATATATTTTAAGTAAATAAATAAGTAGTACCCACATATCACGACGTACGTGACTATACGTCGCAATGTAGGTAATAAAAAACAGGTATGTAGGTACCAATCACCAGCAATTTCACCATCGCGTTAAGTCCCAATAGTGTACTTAGAATATATATCAACAAGGCAAAAGTTTCAATATAAAGTTTGAAAGTTAAAATTTAAATTTAAAAGTCATTCATAATTTGAAGTTCTGGATTGTATGATTATAAGCACTTCTTGTCTATGGAAAACTTTATGATTCTAAAGATTTGGTGAAGAGTGGTGTTGTCTGTCCCATTCGTGTTTCAACCGTGAAGCAGTTATGTTTGCATGGCTGTGTTTCGATTTGAAGGGTGCGATATTTACAGGATACAGAGGAATCACACCTGAGTCCGCAGGAATGGCAACGCATGGGGGGTATCATGGGCGAGACAGTATACTCTGTTTGTCCATGGTACTGCTCATGACTATAGGCGACGGTTATCACTTTCCATCAGGTGGACCGTCAGCTTGTTTGCCATTCTAAATTGTATTAAAAAAAAAAAACTTAAAATATAATTTGCAGAATAACGTAGATATAATATAGTTCTAAGTCGTGATTAGTACACACCTCTCCTATGGAGCACTTGTGGAACTTCATAACATTGCACGTGAGCGTGCCGGTCTTGTCGCTGAAGATGTACTTCACCATGCCCAGCTCCTCGTTCAGGTTGGACGTCCGCGCCATCGCCGGCGTGTCTGTCGCCTCGTGGTACATCTCACTGTCCATCGCTATGAATTTCGCCTGAAAATATATTTCATCTTTACACTGTGCCCAAATGCAGGTATTTTAGTACAACAGATAAAAAAAGAAAGTTTTCCCTCTTGTTTTTTTTTAGTCGATTGAAATGGTTCTAATCGACTGTGCAATTGTCGAGTCCTTAGATTTAGTATTTCGAGAAAGGAGCAGTTAAGGAGAGACATATGCTGGAAGGACGAATTTAAAGCAAAATCTCGGATGTACTATCACAAATGCGGGACAAACCATTCGATATGTCCGTGAGGACACTGACCGCAGATGCTGGGGTTATAGGTTTACAATTAAACGGGATACTAGCTTATTTGGCATCCTTGATGGTATGTTAAAATGATATACACGCGCCACCTGCCTATTTCTATATGTTCTCCTTTAACCAAAGGTTGTCTGTAAGAGATTGGCGTAGCGATAAGACTGCCTTTTGTACCTTTATGTGTATATTTCAATCTGTATGGTATATATGTTACTGTATTTCACTTGAATTGTTCACTTGTCATTGTATATTTTTATTTATGGTGCAATAAAGAGTTAAATAATAATAGTATATTATTTAAACAGGTGTAAACAAAATCATTTGTAACCTTTTAAACGAGTATTCAAGCAGTAAAATAATGTTTTTTCCAAGGCTAAATTTATACCTAAGCATGTATACATGAGGTAACAATAACACAGAATATCTGTTACGTATGAGGACGGCGGCACATATCGTCATAGTCGTAGAATACTGACGGATCTATATATGTAATATTTGTCAGATCCGTCAGTATTCTACCACTATGACGAATGTATCATGGTGATAGAAAAATTACAAATTGTGCGTCATCCTGTGTTCTAATGAGGTAAGGTTTTTTTTATGGGTGATAATGGAATGGCAACCCCGCCTGCGCTATCGGTATACGCTGGCGGAGCACCAGTGAGGGATGATAGGTGGTGATGAAAGTAGGTCAGTTAGCCCATCGTGACAAATTCCGCTAGAATTAACCACGATGGTTTCCAGGGGGAACCGTGTGGAGGTCGACCTGATATGGGTGTATTGCTGGCAATGGGCCGGTTAGACCCTATTACTAACAATCCCTTTCCCCCCAATGAGGTTAAGTTAGGTAAGCACACGAGTTGTACGCACACCCTCGTCCCGATGCTAGTGCTGAGAAGGTGCACCGGGGGTTTTTATCTGGTAAAAGTCCGTCAGTACCCACATAAATCCCCCGAGGTATGTGACATGCGTGAGCATGTCCCCTCGACAAAAAAAAGGTAAGCATACCAGTTACTTGTGGCAATAATATACTACTTCTACTTGTAATGATAAACTATATCCTTCACGACTCTGGAACGCGCTTCCTGATACCATTAAGAGACTACCGATTAAACCGTCTTTCAAAAAAAACGTTCACGCTCACTTTTTTACTTTATCCGAGCAGTAAGTACTTTACATTATTCTCAATTTCGTGTATAATATAGTATGTCATATATGTGTATATATATATATATATATATATATATATATATATATATATATATATATATATATATATATATATATATATATATATTCGTTTATATATGTAATTTTAGTATGTATGTATATCAATAATTAGTAGTACCGCATTCGAGTATTCTGACACTTCCCTATTGTTGACTGGGAGAGAATGTTTTTAGCATTAAGTCCGCCATGTACACATATTATAAATAAATAAATAATGTACTATGTAAATGATACACGTTGATAATTTACCTAAACAAATAGTGATTCAAGCTGTGTTAATATGTAGCAATGAATAGGTACCGTTTGTAGACATAGCGATAAATGTGTCGTACGAACAGTACCAATGGATAAACAAAAGAGTGACTTTACTAAGAACTAAGTCTTGCACTGAGGGAATAGTTTACAGCTATAAGAAATATCAAAATGACAAGTAATTATCATAAAATTAGTCATAATCATCCCAGCCATTATCCGTCCACTGCTGGACATAGTCCTCCCCCATAGACTGCCATAAGCAACGGTCCTGAGCCACCTGCATCCACTGACTCCCTGCAATGCATTTGAGGTCGTCACTCCATCTAGTCGGGAGCTCGTCCTACACTACGTTTGCCCGTACAAGGTCGTTACTTAAGAACCTTTTTCCCCATAAATACGTAACTCACGGACACATGTGTGCAAGAGATATTATGTATAAATATATAAGAATAATATATAAAACAGTGATAAATATATAAGATACCAGAGGGAGACTTTGTACAAAATTCGTTTGCTTGGGTACCTCTGTCCCATTCGTGTTTCAACCGTGAAGCAGTTGTGTTTGCAAGGTTGTGTTTTGATTTGAAGGGTGGGATATGGCGTGAATTTACTGGGTACAGAGGAATAACACCTGAGTCCTCAGGAATGGCAACGCATGAGGGGTATCATGGGCGAAACAGTATACTCTGTTATGTGCATGGTACTGCTCATGTCTATAGGCGACGGTTACCACTTTCCATTAGGTGGGCTGTCAGCTTGTTTGCCATTCTAAGTTGTATAAAAAAAAAATAGATTATCGTCATATTTCATCAAATTAACGCAAAATAATATTGAACTATACGTATAAACCTTCCTCTTGAATCACTCTATCTATTGATGTAAACCGCATTAAAATCCCTTGCGTCATTTAAAATATCTAAGCGTACAGACGGGCGGGAAGCGACTTTGTTTTATACTATGTAGTGATGGAGATACTTACTTGAAAAAATCGTACAATTTCAGCGGTGACCTGCAGCGATATAGGTATCAGGTTGTTGTACAATATTAGGAACGTGAGGAAGTTGAAGCCGAAGTGGGCGTTCTGTGCCTCTGTAACAAATCACATTAATGTATATTTTTAACATTATTCATATTAACTAGCTGTACCTACTAGCTGTAACAACTTTCTATTTGCAAGCCAGTTCGAAATTTAAATAAAACCTTGTATTAGTTACCTCCTTGGTAGCCATGTTTCGAAGTAAAAGGTCATTCCATTTTTAAATTTCAGGACAGATATGAGTTTACATAGTAATTTATCTGGCCGCAAAACACGACAGATATGGATTTTCATACAACTTTTGCCGGCCGCTGCCCGCATGTATCTGGCCAGTACGGCAATTTTGATTTATCTCTAAGAAGATTGTCAAAATAATGCTCACATTTCCAAGCATGTTTGAGAAAAATATTTTTACTTATTTTATTTACTAACTAAGCTATGAGTAGAATAAATAAAATATAAAGAATATTGCTTATAGAGAGTTTGCTTATATAGAGCGTTCACCGTAGTAACGATTAGGAGGTCGCACAGTTTACCATTCAAGTTGTATAAAAACGAACCTTCGAGGCCGATGTACCAGTCGTTGTGCGAGCGCATCCAGAGCTCGTTGAAGATGGCGCTGAGCAGCGACAGCGCCAGCAGGATGATGAACAGCATCAGGATGTGCGTGTTCGTCTGGCGGTCGATCGACGAACGCTTCAGGGGTGCTGTCCACAATACATATAGCATACATTCACAAGGTGGAAGAAATCATATAAAAATTCATCTACTATTCTCGCCTTGTCTCACCTGTCTCCCTCCGATTTCATGAGGTTTGCATGGCTATTTTTGGCTTTGAATAAATATATATAGCAATATCTATATATTTTAGTTATAATATCTAATAACTATATACTGGCCCAATAACGAATACGTTAAAAGTCTGTTATAAAAAAAATAATATTGGATAAGATTTTAACATGTTCTGAAATAGATATACGACCGATGTGGGCGATATCGAAATGGGTGATGAACTTTTTACGGCCATCAATGTCCAGAGGATATATAGATATCGGATCGGTATTCATATTAGCCATGCTTATTTTGAAGTGTGAAATATGATAGTGAAATTATAGGCCATAACATCATAGTCCTCAGGAATGGCAACGCATGCGGGGCATTATGGGCATCACAGTATATTGGTAGACATCTATGTTGCAGTTCAGAGGGAGACTTTGTACAAAAGTCGATTGCTTGGGTACCTCTGACCCATTCGTGTTTTAACCGTGATGCAGTTGTGTTTGCATGGCTGTGTTTCGGTTTGAAGGGTGGGATATGGCGTGAATTTACTGGGTACAGAGGAATAATACCTGAGTCCTCAGGAATGGCAACGCATGGGGGGTATCATGGGCGAAACAGTATACTTTGTTATATCCATGGTACTGTTCATGTCTATAGGCGACTGTTACCACTTTCCATCAGTTGGGCCGTCAGCTTGTTTGCCATTCTAAGTTGTATAGAAAAAAAAATAATTGCCGTGTGGTCCCGGCATAGAACGGGCCACCCCTTTTTCTTGTGGGTGTCATAAGAGGGGACTAAGGGAACGTAATGGTCGAGAGATGGACAGCAACGCCCCTGTTGGAACATCATCAGTCTATCTGCGGTTACTAATTCACCTGCACAGCGTAGCAACTAATGGATAAATCGCTCTTATGGGGGAGATCTAGGTTCAGAAGTGCACAGTACTTGGCTGATATAATGACAAAGATGTTCATGTCTATATGCGACCATTTTTTCATCAAGAGGGCTGTCAGTTTGTTTGCGATCCTGTACACCATAAGAAAAGAATTTAAAAGTAGGTTGGAGCAAAAAATATAAGGTACATAATCGTAAAATCCTCTTAGTATACCGAACAAATATTTAAGGAATCGGGATTCAAGGATCGCTTACTCAATGTAACTTCACAATAAGTGATCGCTCTAAGTGAACGAATGCAGCGTACCTTTGGTGGAGTTCTTCATGAGCTTGGTCTCGTGTCCCGTGTACACGACCAGCGCGTGTACCCACGACGTGTTCCGCAGCATGGCGCCGCGCAGCAGCATCTGTTCCAGGCCCAGGGGGATCGCCCTGCGGATCAACATGAGCTATTGAATAAATCGTCTAGCATTCTAGAATTAACTAGTTTGGCTGTAATAATAAAGTATTTAATAAACCATTTAGCGTTCTAGAAGTCTAGAGCTGATCTAATCACATTAATTTACAATGACCTAATCACGAGGCCTTGGGGGGAAAAGGGATTGTTAGTAATGCGGATTAGTAACCCTGGTAAACTGGTAATATACTCTATCAGGTCGACCTCCTCGCGGTTTCCTCTGGAAACCATCGTGATTGATTCATTAGTAAAATTGTAACGATGGGCTAACTGACTTGCTTCATCTTCACTAATCATCTTTCACTGATGCCCCGCCAGTGTATACCGATAGCGGAGGCGGGGTTACCATTCCATTATCATTCATTAAAAAAATATCACGAGGCCTATTGCGTGAATACATGGACCATGTAACTAAATCTTTTGGTATTCAAAAAGTTGTGTTTACATGCTGTGTGCCAAGTTAGAACGTAAGATATGGTAGAGAAATTAAATTATAGATTTTTGACTAGAGATCTCTATGCCAGAAAAGTTAGTAATATAATACGGGTGGGCTTATGTGACCGCTTATCACCGGACAATATGCACCTTATGCGATTATCATGAAGTATTGGATGCCGGCTTCGAAGTGATTCAAGACAGATGGTAAACGGAATTCACTCAAAAGCTTCAGAATGATTAATACAATCACAGTATAAATCATTGGCTATTTTAGTGATCTTACGTTTATGTAATGCGGTTTAGCGTCATATGGATTATGATTCATTATCACAGTCGGCGTGAATTTTTTGTAATTAGATCGAAAAAGCTCGAAACTAGTCGAGCTTTTTCGATCTAATTACACGTAAGTTAAACCGGTAATTAGTACATTAAAACATAATACGGCAACCACTCATCATCAGGAGGAATTTTAATTACTTAAGCTCAGATACTATCGTGAGGTTATTTTTTAATAGGTGATAATGATATAGTAGCCCCGCTTGCGCTATCAGTTTACACTGGTGGGGATGATAGATGAGGATGAAAGCAGGTGAGTTAGCTCATCCTGACGAATTCAACTAGAATTAATCACGATGGTTTCCAGGGGGAACCACGTGGAGATCGACATGACAGGATATATTTCTTGGGCTGTTTGACCCCATTACTAACAATCCCTTTCCCCGCAACGTGAGGTATTTGTCAGTGTTGTTGGTAAAGTGAACTCACTTAGTATTAGTGGGCTTCAAACTGCCGTTGAACTCGTAGAGGTGTCGGTTGGGCGGCTCGCACTGCACGGTGGCGCGGTAGGCGGCCAGCTCGGCCGCCGTGTCCAGCCGCGCCGTCTCCGCCTGCGCCTGCCGCACCTTCAGGTTCGTCTCGCCGTCCAGGTTGGACGTCTCGATGAACGACATGCCCTGCGGCGCGCTACGGGGTACCAACTACTTGTTAAGGACACTGACAGGAGATAAACATTATGGTATTATTTAAAAAGAAAATGGACTACCAACGTATACGTTACTGACATACTAAAGAAACAATTCTGGTAACCTGCACCAAAGATTTTGGTGAGGAAATTCAAGAAGGATTTCCGACATTTATGACAGATCATGTTCATTGAACAGAAACTTTGTTTAATATCCAAGTATAACTGAAATAGCATGTAATAGGCATTTTACGGAAGCTGAAACATCTACTCTCATGATTGAAGGTATACAAGAGCTTGATCTTCCGATGGTCGCAAATACAAAAAAAAAAACAATGATTTTTTCAAGAGGCTTGCAGCAATTTAGAACTGCTGAAGTTCTAGAACTGTCCGCATTGGTTATAAACTTATATTTTTGCAAACAATACTTAACTAATAAAAAAGATTAGGCGTTTATGTCAAACTCTCATGATACATAAATAATAGTTTGCAAAGCTCTAAACTTTAAAAAGCTTTAAAGCTCGGTTTCGAAGATATCGCAATATTGTTTACGTTCAAGATAATAGCTTAAGTACTACACAAAGGTAAAACTAACCTGGACGCGAGCAATATGAGGTCAGCGGGGAAGAACTGGTTGTTGATCACCTTGCATATGTCGCCGACCTGCAGCCGCTCCCACCGGATCCTCTCCCAGCGACCCTCGCGCAGCACCTCCACTTTCCGTCTGTTCGTCTCATCGTCCGCACGGTGCCGTTTCTGTTTTGAAACCATATTATTAATAAGCTTTATAAGTTTTTTATTCTATGCAGTACTGGACGACCACCCTAATGAAAGTAATACCCGAAACTTTGTTTAAAGTCATCCGTTTGGATGCTTTTATATCATCCTGCAGCTTCTTAGCATTCCGTGTTCCTATTTGAAGACTAAGATATAGCAGTGAAATTACTATATATTGTGACTTAAGATGTTCATACCACGAGAGTCAGTAATGCGGTGGTAGTGCTTCTAGTATTGCAAAGATTTATGGGAACTATTATCAAGTAAACTATAAAAAAAATACCAGAGAGCGACTTTGTACAAAAGTCGATTGCTTGGATACCTCTGTCCCATTTGTGTTTCAACCGTGAAGCAGTTGTGTTTGCATGGCTGTTTCGGTTTTTGAAGGGTGAGATATGGCGTGAATTTACTGGGTACAGAGGAATAACACCTGAGTCCTCAGGAATGGGAACGCATGGAGAGTATCATGGGCGAAACAGTATACTCTGTTATGTCCATGGTACTGCTCATGTCTATAGGCGACGGTTACCACTTTACATCAGGTGGGCCGTCAGCTTGTTAGCCATTCTAAGTTGTATAAAAAAAATACCCGAAAAAATCTTAAATTAAGGTGAATGCGAAATTATGTGTGAATTTTAGATTCCATCATATGAAATGAACATAGCTCAAATAAAACTTTTGAGGGTCGCCACTGCCCCCAACGACTTCTGAAGACGACTGAGTCAGCTTCACGATGCATTCTAAGTAAAGCGCGAGCAACTAGCGTAAGCTACTGTTTTGGCTAAGTATAACATATTTCTTTCGGATCTGATATTACTTTGCGTTTCTCTTGAGCATTCAACGTGGATATATGCACAGCATACTTACAAAGTCTTCGACAATCTCTTTGATGGCACTGACGCTGAGTATGAGTATGAGGGGCGTGAGCGTGGTCCAGCGGCCGGTGGGCGACACGTCGGGGATCTGCTGCAGCAGCGCGATCAGCAGGAAGAAGCAGTTCGAGTAGCGGCGGAATTGCTCGAACAGGAACAGCGGAATGAACGACGGCACACTGGGGACAATATCAAAAGTACATACTTACTACCAATCATATAACGGACATGTCTAGAAAGAACAGTGCTTTCCAAATTACGACCATGTAATTTTACACATAGTACATTTAAATAAATACACGTATTGTTAAATATGATTTAAAAGAGTATCAGTTGAGTTTTTTGCGGGCTTTTCTTAACAGATAACAACTTTTAGAAACCTAAAAAAATAAGTATTAAAATTGCTTGTAAACTAGTTTACTTGAGTAAAGATAATTTAAATTTTATATTTTCATGGCTGAAGATAGAATGGTTGGTGTACAATTTCCTTCTTAACGTTTATATTTCTATGATGATATATCATGCTCGCACAATCTCTACTACTCCCAATACTTGACTATGCCGACGTCTGTTTTTTGGATGTGACTGAGGAGCTTACAAGCTGGAACGATTACAAAATCTGGCCATTAGGTTCATCTTTGGTCTTCGTAAATATGATCACGTTTCTGCCTTTCGCAACCAGTTAAAGTGGCTTCCTATCCGACTTCGACGTGATATGCACATCCTTTCTTTCCTTTATAACATACTTAATAACCCCAATTCTCCTTCGTACCTCCGCTCTCGATTTAAATTATTACCACCACCAATCCGTCCTAAACGCTCCTGTCAAGTTCAGTCCAGGATTCTCGACCTACCTTTGTGTAGAACACATTTTATGGGCAACTCTTTCTCGTATTGAGCTGCCCAATTATGGAACAAACTCCCTTCCTACATACAAGAGAGCCCTTCAATTACCTCTTTCAAGAAAAGGTTGAAGTTACATTTTCTTTCCTTTGAGTCATAATCTTAATTTATTTATTTTTATAATTGAACTGTCAAATTTTAAAATCATTGAACTAAATTTCTATTCTAGGTAGTATATTCATTTATTTTAACATCCACTGTATAAGTAGGTAGATTTTATATTTATTTATAGTATATGTATTTATGTAATATTTTATTATGTATCTTAATATTTTATTTAACTGTATATTTGTTTATGTACACTAAATAATAATAGTTGTAGCACATCAGCTGCCCGCTAGCAACATGTTTTCTAACTGCATTGGGTTGACTGGAAGAGATCTCTGTCAGAGATAAGTCCACCCTTGCTCACAATATTTATAAATGCATTAACATTGTAATTTACAAGTGCAATAAAGAATATATATATATATTGGCGGGGCATCGGTAGAGAATGCAACGATAAGAATGGAGTCAAGTCAGTGGGGTCTATCCTGGTGAATCCGATAGTATGAGTAAGAAACCTACGATGATTTTCTGTCGAACTGACAGTGAGTCGCGTTATAATTATTATTAAAAAAATAAGGATTATTAACAGTGACATTCACTGAAAGTTAAATTAACCACGGCAGTTACCAAGGGACCTGTGCGTGGAATCCTGGCTCTGATTCTGAATCTTATTATGATTTTCGCTCAAAAATAAGGAATTTTAGAAGAGATACATAAAAGAGTTTACACGCCACAGGTTCGGTCATGGTCGTCTCAGCGACAGAATTAGCGATAACCCCATAAAAAGTCCATAAGTACGTGTGACATCAGGCGCGGCGTGGGCAACCTGCCAGCGTTGTGTTGATACGCGACATAACAACGCGTAAACAGTGCCACGCCGGCCCACTAAACAATAAGGGGCCAGATAGATTATACAATAAATAAAGTTGTTCCAGATAGGGAGACGTGTTCCGGAGTGCGGGCCACGAATCAGCAAGTGCAGTGCGAGAGGGACGATCTTTGACTTGGTAGACTGTCACAACATAATTAGTATGCTATTATACTCATATTGTAGTATTAGAAATTTACTAATACTTGTACTTAAATATTCGTATTTATTTATTTATTGATAGGATACACTGGTAGATTAGATCTAACTGGTCTTACATTTAGAGGCAACCACAGCATGCTTTGTATTTGAGAAACATTAAAATGGAATTAAACTATTAAATGTCATTAAATGAATAAAGGACATGAAGTTATGTGGCATATAATATATATATATATATATATATATATATATATATATATATAGCTGAATAATAGAGAGACGTGGTTTTGAAATTAATTGGATCGAGAGAGCCGTCCACACCAGAGGGCTGAAGTGTCCATACATCCCCGTAGATACGTACATAATTATCAATGTTTTAAATATCAGATAAACTTATTATAAATTTATTAATGACATGTTGTAATTTACATTATGTAAAACAAATATTGTAATGAGGCAAAACTGTGATTGTTACAGCCTATGCTGTAAATACTATAAATGACGTAGTGGAGTAACATGAAACAGTTATGCTAGCTATAAAGTTCAAACTTGTGGCGGCATAGTGGGCCGGGTCTATGTCCTCCCTTTAATATGGTTGAGTGCAATGATGGCTGGCTCATCCGTCATACTCGTGAACAGGTGCTGCTTGTAGGGACTGGTCTGTTTGGGTTACAAACGCTGATTAGACTATTTGCTTTTGCAACAGCATACGCTGGTGGTCACTCTATACTCCCAAATTTGAATTTAAAAATGAATCAATATTATTGTAAACATGTATAAAATTTATTTGCAAAAAGAATATGAGCCGAGTTTCCTGTCAGTTCTTCTCATGTCGAACTCATTCCGAACTGACGGTAGATTTGACATATCATAAGAGTCTGGAATAGACCTACATGAATAAAGATATTTTGCATTTGAATTGTCGATAAAATATGTGCACGTTATTGTTGAATGAACCGTTAACCGTCCACTGCTGAACATAGCCTCCTACATAAGAGGGGGCTTTGCCATTAGTTGCCACGCTGGGCAGGCGGATTGGCAATCGCAATTTGGCTTTAAGTGTTGTTTTAAGAGGGACACTGCTGTCCATCCCTCGACCATAATAAGCTCCCTTAGTCGACCTATACGACACCCACGGGAAAGGAAGGAGTAGCTCATTCTATGCCGGAACCTACACGGCTAGAATATGTGCATACAAAACCATAATGTAGGAAATTTAAAACGGGTCAAATTAACATTGTTATCGGCAACAATTTGTTCATTTTACGACCAGATCGGAATCCATTTTACCAATTCTGTTATCGCTTTTTAACGTTCGTCTATGTAAATATGTGTATATTTACCAGATAATGACTACCATTGCACAAAAGCATGGACGGTTATTTTAGTGGTGAAATTAACGGTCTCTGTTTTTACGACTATTTCCAGGGAAACCGCGTGGAGGTCGATCTGACTCATATTGATCGCAATGGGGTCACTAATGTTACAAAAATCCTTTCTTCCAGCGTGGACAGTGTAACCAACGATCAGGAAATAGTTCAGTATAGTGAATAACTAGCATTTTGCCTGTTACTTTGTACGCGTGGATTTTAGATGCAGAATACTATAGGAACGAATTCAATAAACCCATTTTAGATGACGTATCGAGATAAAACACAAGCCAGATTTTAAGATGGACTTTTAGAAATCAAACTGTGAAAACCGCATCCAATGTGGTGCAGTTGTTTTTGCATGATACCGGAAAAAACATCGTATAGTTACAATTTTATTATATTATTTTATAATTTATTCACATACAGGTGTTATTCCTCTGTACCCTGTAAATTCACTGCCATATCTCACCCTTCAAACCGAAACAGCCATGCAAACACAACTGCTTCACGGTAGAAACACGAATAGGACAGAGGTACCCAAGCAAACGACTTTTGTACAAAGTCTCCCTCTGGTATGGTGGAGAATTAGTTACGGTAGTGTAACAGGAAACATAACTATCCGGTCCATGTCATGTTATAAATTTGAAAATGGTTGTCGAGATCACATACAAGTTTGGAATTCAGGACACGACATGTTTCATGTATTATTTTTATATTCCTCGCGCACCAATAAAATTCATTTCTATTGTTATTTCTTATTCCACTCGTGTTTCTGCCGTTCGTGAAGCAGCTGTGTCAAGGCGCATAACGATGGCATAGCACCATAGGCGTCAGGAATGATAACGCGTGAGGGTGGGGTGAGAAGGGATTTTTAGTTATGGAGATTGGTAATCCCATTGCTATGTACCCTATCAGGTCGACCTCCACGCGGTTCCCTCTGGAAACCAACGTGATTGATTTATTGTTGAATTCGTTACGAGTGGTCCACTGACCTGCTTCATCATCATCTATCATCCTTCACTGGTGCCCCGCCAGTGTATACCAATAGCGCAGGCGGAGTAACCATTCCATTATCATCTATTAAAAAAAAGTGTGAGGGTTACCATGGGAAGAATTCTGTGACGTTCATGTCTACAATGACAGCTGAGTTTCTTGCCCATTCTACACACCTGAAAGTGCATTCCGAACTGGGCGGTAAATTAAAAGATAGATAGATACTCTTTATTGTTTCCTCCAAAAGATTACAATAGTAAACTTATTATAGATACAAACAATTACAAGAAATAATCACAATGAGAAAACAATGGGCGAGCTTATGGCTAAGAGCGATCTCTTCCAGGCAACCTTTGGATGGAGAGTAATTATAAACAATTTGGTGGGAGAGACGATGAAAATTCTGTTAGTTCTAAATATGGAGATGTGATACATATAATAATACAAATATATGTTTATAATTTCTGAACAGTCCTTATTTAATTTTACTTGAATATATTTTATTATAATCGATGGTAATCACTCTCCATAAGGTGGGCCGTCAGCTTGTTATTCCATGTTGCATAAAAAAAGTATGGTCTCACCTGTATTTGGCGGTGGATATTCTGTTGGAGACGAACTTGATCGGCTGCTGGCTGTTCATGAAGATGACCCGGTTCTGCTGGTCGCATGGCGCGCCGTCGGTCACGCCGGACGTGGTCGCCTCGTCCTCATCTGGGTAACGACAAAAATTTGGATTAGGTAAATAACTTCCATCAGGTAGATCGTATGCTTCGTTGCCACCCTTCGATATTTTTTTTAAATACACTATAGTTATGATTAAATTTGTGAAATCATGAATTTTATCAAAACTTTGAAAGAATCATCAAAATCAGTATTGAGTAATACATAGTACAAATAAAGGCGAAATGAAAAACTTTTCTTTTTTGAGATCGGCTAAACGATGCCGTCGAATTGAAATAGAATTTAGTTTGGTCACAATTGAAACTATGGCTTTTTTGTAGCAACACTTTCAATTCAAAAAGTACGCAGTCGTGTGCATCGGAAGCGACGTGCAATTTCGTTACAGTAGCCGAGCCGCTGTAACTTGGGCAAAAATAATTAGAATTTTGTTCCACAAAAAAAAATCCCAACTTCATTCGCGGTAAAACCAGTTATTTTGATTTTAAAACTAAACTATTGAATCGACATTGATAAAAAAATTATGAAAAATTAGAATAATCCAAATCGGTTTATAAATAACGGAGATATGAGATGACAAAGATAAAAAACACAACCGAATTGATAATCTCCTCTTTTTCGGAAGTCAGTGAACAGCAATTTTGGTCGAGTTAAAATTAGAAGCTTTATTAATTGCAAAAATAAGTAATAAAAGTAGTTTAATTTCGCACAATGTAGGCGAATTGGGAAGACAGCTTAAAAAAACACGCGAAAGTTTAAAATAAAAAAAAAAAAAAACATTTTACTGTACGAGTTCCTTATTCAGCTACAGAAAATCATCAAAATTTGTTTTATAATTTTGATCCGTTGACCAAATGACACCGTGACGATCGTAGCCTTCATTAGAACACAGGTGTTACAATCACCGCTACAATCGATTGGCTGATGAGTTTCAATAGTAAATTGAATAGTGAGTCTGACCGGAAACCGATTGTTAGTAACAGTCACTAATGATCCCACTGCTAAGCAATACAGCCTGTGAGGTTGACCTCCACGCTGTCCCCAAGGAAATCATTGTGATTGATTCCTGGTGGATTCGTCGTGCCATCAACTGACTTAGGGAATTAAAATCGTCATTGTAGACGGATCAAAATAGGAAACTTTCTAGTTCGTTAATATTACGGGGGGGGGGGGTGAAGGGATTATTAGTAATGGGTTCTAACAGTTCCATTGCTAGCAATATATAACTTATTAGGTCGAACTCCACGCGGTTCTCTCCAGAAACTATCATGGTTTTTTTAGGTGTTTAAGGGATCCCGTCCTCACTGTTTTTTTTTGATGGATCGAAAATGGTATGGTAACCCCGCCTGCGCTAACGGTATACGCTTGCGGAGCACCAGTGAAGGGTGATAAATGAGAATGAAAACAGGCTAGTTAGCCCACCATGATGAATTCATCAGGAATTAACCATGATAGTTTCCAGGGAGAACCGCGAGGAGGTCGACCTGGTTGGGTATATTGCTAGCAATGGAATTCTCAGTCTCCATTACTAACAATCACTTTCCCCCCAAAATCCGTCCTCACTGTTGACGTCGTACGGGTGGCGGGATGCGTTTTACGACGAATTGTACTGTATTAATTGGGACGCAATACAATTCTTTGAGGAGCATAGTTTAAGATTGGACGACTGGGGACTGCGAGTAAGTCGTCCTCCGAGCAGACAACTCCTGTTCTCTGGAGGTGGTCCGCTCGAAGGCCGGTTGCCAGTCGTCATATTTCGTACTATACGCTATTAATAGCACCGCAAAAAATTTGTGTGATCCGTCGTGTTTAAGTGGTAACCTAAATTTAATAATGTGAAATTAATCACGATTAGCACAATGACCTACTTCCAACACCTATCATCTATACCGATATCAAAGCGGGGTTAGCATTTCATACACATTCATAAAAAAAAAGCCTAACATAAGTTATGTAAAGTAAATCTTATTACGATTCATGTAAGGTGGACTTTTTATCCATCCTATCCTATCGCCTATCGCTCCGCCTATCATTTACTGATAACTTGTCAGTATAAACTTTAGTGCAGGTGGGGCTACCATTCCATTTTAAGTCGTTTAAAAAAATTATCACCGACTGCAAATGACGAATCCGGTCGCTCGCGAACCGAAATAATCAACAATACTTAGCGTGCATCTCGAATTCGTGACGTCCTTAGTATTTTAAGAATCGCAAACATAGCAGTGCAGCATCTGAATATTTTCGCTCGCATACATTTTCCTGTTATTCCGTCCGTGTGATGACGAAGTTCTCTTTTAATAAGATAAAAATAGAATGACCAGTATGGTAGGCTCGCTTGCGCCAACCATAGGTATACGATGACCTAGTACTAGTAAGGGATGATAGATGACGATGAAGTCAGGTCAGTCAACCATGATTAATTCACTAAGAATTAAACACTACAGTTTCCGGGATTAGCACTTGGAAACCAATCATCACATGGACTTGAACATAGACTTTCCAATTAGGGAGAGGCAGTGTTACAATCAATGCGTTGGCACGCTTGGTAGGCAGGATGGTGATCGCAGTTAGACTTCAGTGATGTTCTAAGAGGGACAATGCTACCCATCCCTCGACCTTAATTTTCGAGGCATGAGTCGTAGCGTTCTTTTAGTTGTCTCATCCGACACTCACGGAAAAGAAAGGATGGCCCATTCTACGGCACAGATTACACAAAAAATCTTTAATCCCTATTAGGTACTAACAATTCTTCCCCACTAGTGAGGAAAGAAAAATATTACGTGAATAATAATTTTCATAGTCAGAGTAACATAAGAAGCCGTCTGATCAGTGCTGTAAATGTAGGCTATATATACTCTTTTTATATGGAGAGTTCTGTTCTTTGTAGCGTGACGATAAAAAGTTATTAGGGTGAGGATTTCGATGACCTCTAAAAGTCAGTAGCTTCAATGTACTTGAAATCTCGATATAGAACTTTAACTACTTCAATTACTTAATTAAATTGCTGTAATTAATTCAATTTTCTTTAAGTAAATGTGGTAGCTTATAATTGGCTTATTGTCATATATAGGTAGTATATTTGATTTTTAAGTTACTATAATTTTTATTTGTTTATATATTTTGCTTTTTGTTTTTTTTTTTTTGTTGCTTTTTTTTTAATTCTCTTATCTCTTTTACTGTGTATTATGTGCATGTTTTATTGTAATTTATGTGCTGTAAGTAATGTAAATAAATTATCTATCTATCTATTTATAAGTGTAAGCTTCTCTCAAAAATAATAAATTAATTAAAGGAAGCCAAATTCTTGATTTTATTGATTAGTTTAGAAAATACAACTTCTAAATCAGATCCGTTGTACGCTTTATTATCTGGTATCTACTTTCAAAATTAATTTAATATGGCAGTCTTAGCTGGGATACACAGAAAAAAAGCTATTGTAAGTATATTTTTATGAGACCCTGGCAAAAACTATTTTCACAAAATTTATAAGGATTTTAACGATGTAACCATACATACAAATCTGTTCAGACAGTTGCCCCCTTGTTCATAAAAACTACAATCTTCTACAAACCTTTTTTTTATACAATTTAGAATGGCAAACAATCTGACGGCCCACCTGATGGAAAATGGTAACCGTCGCCTATAGACATGAGCAGTACCATGGACATAACAGAGTGTACTGTTTCGCTCATGATACCCCATATGCGATGCCATTCCTGAGGACTCAGGTGTTATTCCTCTGTAACCAGTAAATTCACGCCATATCCCACCCTTCAAACCGAAACACAGCCATGCAAGCACAACTGCTTCACGGTAGAAACACGAATGGGACAGAGGTACCCAAGCAATCGACTTTTATATAGTGTCCCTCTGGTACTAATATACTAATTTATCTTTCCGTTTACCCGTGCGCAAATTCGTTGGCGTACCAGTAAACCTTGATAACGTTACACTCCATTTTTGGGTAGTCATGTAAAAAGGGCGTTCTTAATTGGACGACATCTTTATTTTGTATGTACATATGTTACGCGATACAGGTTTCAACAGATTACAACTTGTATGTGTACTACGCTCTTATGTGAGTGTTTTTATGTACGATAATGGAGTGGTAACCCCACCTGCGCTATCGGTATACGCTGGTAGGGCACCAGTGAGCGATGACACGTGCGGATAAAAGCAGGTTATTTGGCCTATAGTAAAAAATTCATACAGAATTAACTAAGATATTAGCTGAACCTAAACCAGAAATTTTTGAACATCTCTGTAAATTATTGATGCCCATTAATTCTTCTCCTTCCGTGTCTAGGAAAAGTAGATAAAGTTTTATTTGAGAACTCATTTCAGGGTACGATAGGGCTGATTCACCTGAAGAAGGTAAAATCCCTTAAAATAATAATAATATAAAAAAAAAGTAAGATGATTTCCAGAAGGAACCATATGGAGATCGACTTGATAGGGTACATTGCTAGCAATGGGGCCACTAGTCCCCATTACTAACAATCCGTTTTCTTCCTACGCTCGTGTAATATTCCGATACTTAATAACAAATTTATAGTTGTTTTTGTGACATAACATCTTAAATTATACTAATCAATACCTCTCTGCCCACAAGTTATTTTACTTTGGCATTGAATAATTTAACTAGGTACATGAACTGAGTACGATGCCGTCAGAAATATATATGAATCTAATATTTACCTACATAATTTAATAGTATACAATTACCGGTATACCATCAATAATAGTACACTGCTCATCTTAGGTTAAAAATATACATAGTATAGATTGGTAATGTGAAAGATAAGTTGTTACGTACGCTCGGAACGCACCTCAACACGAAATGTCAAATGTTCTGTCAGATTTGCGCTGTCTGCTATCGCTTGCTTTTACAAAATTAATACGTATAATAAATCTGTTGTTTATAATAATAGCATTTAAATACTACACCCAATATAGAAACCCACAAAACACAACAGACTGGCGACGAGGATCGAAGATTAACTGGTACAGCAGCATTAATCGGTACACCTAAA